AGCATATTCAAGAATGGCAACATTATACATGTAATTACAGGAAGGATGGCCCATCCATAACATCTATAGCCCGTTCACCGTAAGATGTCCCCTGCTGTGATGTTGGCACTATTGCTTGTCAATCTGTTGTCAGTTTGTGATTATAACGCTCGTTTTTGTGTTATTATTTAAAATATTCCGAATTAATTATGCCGAAACCATTTAGAAGTAGTGCAAGAGAGGTTGTGTTGAAGGTGCGTGCCTTTTGTGAGAGAAAAAAGGCAAACCAAGCCCCGTTAATTCCACTCAATCAATTGCGAACTCGCGTCGCCGCCATGACATGTTAGTAAAATAGGGATGCCAGCTTCATGCAAAATGCCTTTAGTATGGGTAATAATAAGAAATTACTAAACATTACGAATTAAAATAAAAAAGTACGTATCTCAGTTAATTTAATTTATTTTTTTATGATAATGTCTGTATTTGTATTTTATAAATATTTAATTTTATAAAATGATACAAATTTGGTGTCTATTTCAGGCATGTCGGAGAAAACCGTGAGAGTAGAATATCTAAAGGTGAAGCTGCTGCCTCTACATCTCAAAAACTCAAGTCTCCTGGAAAACACCGTCAAAGACGTAAAACGGTGGATCTTGATGATTTCGATTTATGCGCAATAAGAAACAAAATCCATGAAATGTATACTGTAAGAAAAGTTGTTCCTACTTTAAATAAATTACTTGTAGAATTAAAGAATGACATAAACTTTGGTGGAGGTCGAACGACTTTGTGGAAAATTTTAAAACAAATTGGATTTCAGTATAAAAAGTGTGGTTCGAAACGGAAAATTTTAATGGAAAGGCACGACATAGTTGCATGGAGACGCAAGTATATCGTTACTATGAGGCAAAATCGAGCAGATGGTCGGCCAATAGTTTTCTTAGATGAAACATACATTCACGCATCGTATGCAGTGAAAAAATGTTGGCAAAAAGATGACGAGGACGGAGTACTAATAAGTGATTATGTTGGAACGCGGTGGATAATTATTAATGCAGGTGGAGAAATAGGGTTTATTCCTAATGCTCAATTGATTTTTAAATCACAGAGTAAATCAGGGGACTACCATGACGACATGAACAGAACCAATTTTATAAAATGGCTTTCAGAGAAACTTATACCCAATTTGCCTCCGAACTCCTTAGTCGTGATGGATAACGCTCTCTATCATACCGTACAAGTAAATAAAGCACCTACTATGAGTTCCTCAAAACTTCAAATGCAAAATTGGATTACAAATAAGGGATTGTCTTATACACCAACAATGCTGAAAGCAGAACTTAATGAAATTATAAAAGAGCACAAAGAAGCGCCGATTAATGAGGCTGACCAATTATTGCTTTCTCATGGCCATAAAGTGGTTAGGTTGCCCCCTTACCACTGTGATTTAAATGCGATTGAGTTTATGTGGAGTCTTTTAAAGAGACGAGTAGCCAGCAATAATGTCGGCCAAGAAGCTGGGAATATCGTGAAGTTAACTGAAGAAGCTTTTTCATCTATAACCCCTCAGGATTGGCAAAAGCAGTGTGAACACGTAAAAAATTTAGAAGACAAGTTTTATGTACTTGATGGCTGTATGGATGATATTACTGATAAATTCATAATTGAATTAGGAAATGACAGCAGCACAGATTCGGATACGACAGATGATGATGACGACGTTTATGAAAGTGACAGTGATACGAGTATATCCGGAATTGTTCCTTTCGACCATAATTATTGTCGGAAAAAATAAATCAAAAAATAATTTAAAAATTAAATTGTGTTATCATTCACAACCTTACTAGTCTTATAACTAACCGTATATTATTTAAATAAGCAAGTAAAACATATTAATCAGGGGTTTTCAAGTTTAGATAATTTTGCCAGTGGGGTAAATGCTCCATATATTGTTGGCAGCACCGTAGACAATGCTGCCATTTCCCAAGGCAGGGGACATCTTACGGTGAACGGGCTATAGCGACGACTTTAAGGGCCTGCGCTCACAAACGGCACGACACGACACGGCGTATCAGTTTTTTTTTTTCGTGAAAAATATTTTCGAGGTTATTTTAATTATCTTAGCACTGACATTCCTTTATTTCAACACGAATAGACCGAAACGTCTCGCGCGACGCCGCGGCATACTGCTGCTCGTCACGGCATTGCAAGGGATGTCGCGGCACGCCACTGCATCACGTGAAACGTATAGGCTACTTTATGTTGTTAAAGGAAAGTGAGTGCTAAGTAATTGAAACATGGTCGAATCTAGCTCGTTGCGGTTCAATCTCAGCGCCTCGCGCGAGCGCTCTGTACACGAGCGGGTCTTGACTTGTTTCGCATGCCGCGGGATCCTTCGGCATGCCGAAGTATGCCTTCCCAAGCCGTGCCGTCTGTGAGCGCAGGTTCAAAGTTTGTCGGAATTTCTATTAAGGTGATGTGGACGCCAAAAGCAGATTTTTCACGCTTTATAGGTGCGTAAAAAAGCAATTTTTTGTCATTAAAAACAATGAATCCACATATATTTTTTTATAAATTTATTATGAACGTAAAAAATTTTTCTTAGTTCACTAAGAAAAATTTTTTACATAATGAATTATGTTGGCCAAAACACGATTGACATATTTTGGCCCGATAAAAAAAGATCGCAGTTTCGTCAAAATCTACAAATTTACGTACGTTCCACTAAGTTAAAAAGCTGTTTCATTCGAATGTAATGAAATCGATATCAGTTAAATTCAGGCTCATTTCAATTAAATCAATTTCAATTAAAAGAGTATATATAATTTTAAAAAGAAATATCAAATAAATATTGTGCGATTAAATCTGCTTTTGACGCCTTCACTTCACCTTAAAGAACTTTTCAGCTAAAGAAGGTCCAATATTCAGTAGCGGACTTTGATGGACTGAATAACGTCATCAGCATCAAATTCAGTCCAGTCCAAACTTTGATTAGGGCAACGTTTCCTGGTTGTATATAGTCAAGAAGTCGTCAAATGCACAGGATATATTGAAATTCATTCATTCATTCCAGTCTGAAGAAAGTACACTGTTTCACATAAGCCTCTCCTATATAACACCTCATGGTGCGATATTTGCCATAGCTGCCATGCTTGGCAGGCGAGTTAGAAACCGCAGTTTTTTTATTATTACTGCATTGGTATCAGGCAAAGATACTGCAGCTAATCTAGTTTCAGTTTGCCTTCGTTGCTTCTTGCGAAATTCACGGGATAATGAGGGTTGATTGGATTTGCCACTACACGACACTCTCACCTACCTGTACTCTACGTAACGCGCCGAGATCTCGAGTAAGTACGGTTAGAAATGGTATCAAAATATTTTTAATACCTAAATTTAAATAGGTATAGGTTGCTGGGCTATGCGGCTCAAAATTTTAATCAAAATCAAAATCGTAATTTGATCCATTATACTATTGCCGAGTCAGGTGTTTGGCTTTAAAGTTAACATTATGATCAAGTTTGTTGTATGACAGTGATCGTAAGCCATAGGAGTTACAATAATTAAATAACAAATAATTATGTCTTCATAATTGATTTTCTCATTAATATGGAATTATGATTTACTTCAACATTCAGCAATTACCATTCAAGTTGTGAACTGCAAATATTAAAAAGAAATATTGTTGCATGTGCATACCACAAACACAAATACAGTGGATTTCATAAATAACGACCTCGGTTGTAACGACTTTTTGGTTATAGCGACGTCAAACTTACGTCCCTTGAATTTAAAACATACTTTCGTAAGAAATTCATTCGGTATTAGCGACATCGGTTATAGCGTCAATTTCGGGTATAGCGACTTGTTTTTATGAACCATTTATGACCGATTCCTAGAAATCCCTTGCGGATATTACGACTGAGTCGGCAAAGGCACAAAGACTCATTCATAAAAATATTAAGCTTTATTATCCTTTGTTTACATTCACAGATGGTCAAACTAATGCTTTGTTTGTATGTAGGACTACGTAGCATAAACATGCTAAATGCTCAAAAAGTACTGTTTCTTTGGTGAAGGCTAAAATAATTTAGATGTTGAAGGAATTATGAAAATGGAATACACCTTACAGCGTGCACATAAAATTAAACATAAACAGTGCACTATAACACGTTTTTTCAATAACACCCGTGTATAACACAATTAAATAAATGATAAATATGTACATGACTTTTTATTATTACGGATATAGAGACCTCCGGATATAGCGACGACATTAAAGTGGTCCCTTCGCCGTCGTTATAACCAAAATTCACTGTAATACTAAGACATCTGCGCGTATAATAACATTTTCCATTTGGTACAGCCACTGCTGTGATTCAGTTTTTAAAAGAGCCAGTATAATTAACAAGCTGTACATATTTCATCCCAGTCTATGAAGGCGATGTGTTTGTGGCCTTTGTTGATTGCAGGTGCCCATTGATTGACATATACAGGTACTATGAGATCAACTTTGTGACCTCTTTGGTCACTCAAATATTTAAGAAAATACAGGACACAAGGATATGGGGGATCGAACTAACTTAAAATTTAATTTACTATTGTTTAAATGCAAAAGCCAATTATTTTGTTCAGCGAGATCATATATTATTTGCTTGGCAATTCAATTTTCAAAACCTCTCCTGTTCGGTGCATATACTGACTCCTACAAGAACGTTGCAACAGCTGCGTTGTTTTTGCATTAAAATTTTCTATTTCTGCTATATTGTTATAGAAAGAACACAAATAAAATATAATATTATGTAAAAAAGTGCTTCGATGGTTTTACATTCCAAACTACTTAAATTATTGCCGTCTTATAACACTTAGTTCCAATGTTGCCAACATCGTTAAAGTCATGTGTAAAAAGTACCAACATTCGATTACAAATTGTGGTATACAAATATAGTATCTAACATATTTATGTGGGCAACATTGCATTATATTCACATTAGCGGCACGCACGTGTGTTCTTTGACCGACAATCACGTAAAGGGATTCAAATTCTTATCGTATTCGTACTCCTCCGCGAAGGGGTTTGTCGGATCCTTGCTTCCATTTTCATCTGAGAATGGATTTTTAGTTTCGTCGTACGTGTCGTCTTCAAATGGATTCTTGCTGGCTCCATTGTATATTGCTGATGATATTTTGGGCGAATCACTCGGTTCTTGAATTCTATAAAAGGACAGTTAATTATATTCTTACGGATCGAAAATTTTAGTTTACTAATATACCTAATTAAAACGATAGATAACTAAGTTATGAAAACAAATGTATTTTACCAAGTTTTTATTAAGTCACTTTCTTGTTTGTCTGTCGTTCCGGGTGAAATTTAATAATAGCATTAAATTAACTTCTCGACGAACTGGGAACTTGAAATTTTGAACATAGCTGAATTTTTTTTATTTTTATAGAAGAGGGGGCAAACGAGCATGCGGCTCACCTGATGTGAAGTGACTACCGCCGCCCATGATCAACCGCAACTCCAGGGGAATTGCAGGTGCGTTGCCGGCCCTTTAGAAAGGAGTAAGCTCTTTTCTTGAAGGTCCCCAGGTCGTATCGGTCCGGAAAAATCGCCGGTGGTAAACTATTCCACAGAGAGGTTGTACGCGGAAGAAAACTCCTTTTGAAACGTACTGTGGTGGACCGCCAAGCATCCAGATGGTGTGGATGGTATCGGGACGTTTACCGCGTAGTGCGTTCACGAAATTTGGCGGCTGGGATTAATCCGAACAATTCCTCAGAGCACTCTCCATGGTATATGCGAAATAAAATGCAAAGAGATGCAACATCTCTTCGCAGTGCCAGTGAATCGAGCCGATCGGAAAGCACTCGGTCGTCGACGATTCGAGCCGCTCTGCGCTGGATGCGGTCAAGTGGAAGGAGCTGGTACTGGGGAGCCCCAGCCCAGAGATGGGAACAGTATTCCATGTGCGGCCGAACCTGCGCCTTGTAAAGTCGCAGGCGGTGTGCCGGCATGAAATACTGTACCGCTCTGATGAGCACGCCAAGCTTTTTAGAGGCCAATTTGGCCTTCTCTTCCAAGTGACCACGAAACTGCACGTCATTCGATATGTCAACGCCGAGGATTCCGATACTGGCTGAGGCAACAAGGGGACTGCCTTGAAACTGAGGAGATACGACAAAGATGTTCTTTTTAGCGGTTAATGCGCAAACTTGTGTCTTCTGGGGGTTAAACTGGACTAGATTTAGTCGCCCCCAATCCGAGACTCTGTTCAGCAAAGACTCGACTTCAGACACAAGTTTGTCCCGGCACTCGGAGACGTTTTCCCGAGAAATATTGGCTCGGCCGGTGTAAAGAGCATCACCAGTACTGTCATCTGCATAGCATTGAATGTTACGGGTTTGCAACATATCATTGATATGCAGAAGAAACAGCGTTGGCGATAGCACGCAGCCTTGTGGAACACCAGCATTAATAGGCTTGCAATCGGAGCTTGCACCGTCTACAACGACCTTGATGCTCCGATCTACAAGAAAGCTGGTGATCCAATCGCACAATTTCTCGGGAAGCCCATAGGAAGGGAGCTTCGAAAGAAGCGCTTTGTGCCAAACCCGATCGAAGGCCTTCGCAATGTCCAAACTAACGGCCAATGCCTCCCCCTTGGACTCTACTGCCTCCGCTCATCTATGAGTTAGGTAGACCAGAAGATCACCAGCTGACCGACCACGGCGAAAACCGTATTGGTGGTCACTTATCAGCTGGTGATCGTCAAGGTACCTCATGAGCTGGCAGTTTACAATAGACTCCATTGTTTTGGAGAACAAGGAGGTGATGGCGATAGGGCGGTAGTTGGACGGGTCTGAGCGGTCGCCTTTTTTAGGGATCGGGTGGACGAAAGCCGTCTTCCATGATTTTGGGACTACGCCTAGGGAGTAGGAGTACCGGAAAAGACGCGTTAAAACCGGTGCCAACTCTGGAGCACACGTCCAAAATTCGTCCACGTGAAATTCGGATGACAATGCAAGAATATGATAAAAAACGTGGTAAATTAAAAGAAAAAAATCACTTGTTTATTAAATTCACTTGTTTGTGAAATGTCATATTTTATTTATAGGTTTATAGGTGTTTTATTTATTATAAAGATAATAGACAATAATGACGTGCTATATAAAACTAATATTACACGTAGCAATAACTTTAGCCTCTGAATAGCCTTTATGAAAATTACAAAGTGACAAAACAAAGCGGCAGCTATCTCTATATTTTTAAATAAATTTTATTTTCTTGCAGTTAGTAAATTACAGTGAAAGGATAATATATGAAAAACAAAGATGATCTATATCATCTTGCATTCTTCATCAAACCGTAAGAGATCAGCTGCAAACTTTGATCATTTTCGGAAAGAATTGCCATCCCTAGTTCAGAAACTTCCATAGCGTGATGTGTTTTATCAGAAGCTTACTAGGTGCACACCTTTTCTACTTAGAACTCGGTCTGGGTAAGTAACACCCTCTTACTTAATGCTGTCGCCAAATAGCAGAGTGTGTACTGCTGAAGGGTATAGCGAGCCAGCACAATTACAGGCTTGGAGGCACTCTATCTTAGTCCTTAGGGGTGACAACACATCTGCAATCTTCTTCGTTTAAAGTTAACATACATGGATGTTAACTGCTATATTATGGTTGTAGCACGAATGGGTCGGCTCGATCGTCTAAAGACCACGCTCTCACAAAATACCTAAGTAAAATAGCAGCTTAATGCTGCTGTGTTTCGTATGGTGAGTGTAGAGAACCGGAGACCCTTTTGACAGGAAACGAGGCATTCCATCTTAGTCCCCAGGTGTGGCATTTTGATTCCTAATCAAGGATAAATAAAGAGGTCTATGGGCTACAGCATCCACTTAACATTAGGTGGACTTTGTGCTCGTTTGTCACCATAATTCTATAAAAAATGTACTGCAGTAGCCAGTCACCATCAGGTGAACAGTAAATACGTTTGTCATTTCAGTTTTTTAAAATAGTGTGTTAAGATTGATAAGCACTTACTTTTTCCTAGCGGCCGTCGGCGATGCATATGGCGACGGCTTGGCATGAACTTTAGGTTCTAGCTTGGTCATGTTGGCTTCAAGACTAGACGCGTACTGCTGTTGCTCCATTAGACGCATTCTTCCCTCCGGCACTGGGATAACAGCAGTGCCTTTCGGTGCCATTTGTTTTGTTGTGTTTGGAACGAATACTGTGGAAAATTGACTTATATTAAAAGTAAAAGAAAGTAGAGTCGAACGGTGCAAATTATTATAGAGAGTTGCTAGTGTAATTACAGGTTGTGAGCCATCTTACTTCTCAAGTGTGACAAACTATTTGTAGCCATTTTAAATGAAGATGGCTGCAGGTTGACCTGTTAGTTATATAAGATCAATCAATAATTAAACCAAAAATAAGTAGAAACCTGTATTTCTAGGATGGTAAGACGATACACATACATTACAAAACAAACTTCATACTGTTAAATTTAAAAGCAATGACAGTTGCGATTTAAGTAGTTGTGATAATATTCGAATACTATCATCATCATCATCATCATCAATCTGCAGTAGCCTACTGCTGGACATAGGCCTGTCCCAAGGCGCGCCACTTAGCACCATCTTGGGCAGCACGCATCCAGTTGCTGCCAGCCGCCTTGAGCAGATCGTCGCTTCCTGATGCTGACGCTCTGATGTAAACAGCTAAGCGCGGTGACCACTCTATGACACGTCTACTCCAAGGACACTTCTGTACTATCAATACGATGAATACTCAAAATCTTTACTCCAGTTTCCTGTATTCGAATAATTTAATTCGAGAACTTCAGTATAATATGAGATAGAGATCGTCGAATTTTAAACTGCACTTGCCTCCGTTGTATTATTGGTAGTTTTGCCATATTTACCATATTATGTATTAAGAAATATAATCTGCACGCCCTTTCCATTGTGTTTTAGTAGTTTTTACCATTTTTTTACTATGATTGGCATGATACAAGGGATAAAATCTACCAAAAATACATGGTAGCCGCACGCTGTTTAAAAATCAGACGATCTCGACTGGAGTCTACCTGACTCGCCACATCTGTGTAATCGAACAACGGTAAGGTTTAATACGCTTGACCAAAATGAAGTGTTTGTACGTAGTAGGGCCACGCTGTCGCGTATAAAGACTGCAGCAACAGTGGCTTGGCTCGACCCGAGAACTGCGGTCACACAGGATATCAAGCGATAAATAGTAGCATTATACTTCTGACTTTCGAGTTTTTAATGCTTGGAAATATATATAATCTTGAAATCTTTCTCTGAAATTCATATAATTTAATTTTGCTCATTTTATATAACGCAATACAAATGGCAATTTTAGCGGTTTTCACAGTTGAGATTACTTCCAGCCACGATTTAAAATCTCAATACAAATCACAGTATCTTAAAGATAGAAAAAATAAACATGTTAGTTTTTTTTTATTATATCTCCTTATGAAGAACTGAATATATTTTAGTCCACCGTGAAGATCTTCATCTGTAGTTTTGTTTTCTATTCTAAATCAGCGCTTAACTACAATCCTACCTGATGGTAAGTGGTGATGTAGCCTAAGATAGTGAAGCGCACTGATTTAACAAAAACCTATTCACTCTTGCCTTGAATACACCAACATTGTAATCGGATGGAAAGACAGATCCTGGCAACTTAATCCACTTCTGTGTTGTACGCATGACGAACGATGTAAATTAGATTTTCGAGCATTTTAATATTAATAAAAATATGTTGTTTATTTAAACGTATTTTGATAGAAAGACATATTGAAGTCACATTCATGAATAACACTTAAAAGCCGCTGCTGATTAGCTATCTACTTGACATCATCGAAATAATTTACAACTGTTATTATCAAAGCAAAACAACAAAAACCATTTAATATTTAGTAAGGTGGCGCATATATTATTGATATATCAACGGTGACCGTCACGTTACGTCAAAAGATAATACTTGCATATAATTAAAATTACTTATAAGTAAACTTTTAATTATAATAACTGTTTATATTATAGTCTTTACTTGGTAGGGCCAAGTTGCAGCCGAGTTATTTGCTGTAGTACCAAAATAGAACGGGCAAGAATTACACTTTTACAGACTATCAGCGTAAAGCTACCGTGGAGGTGCTTGTTTGATGAGTTGACGGTAACCGGAAAATCTTTTCTCAGTTAGTTTCTTATTCGACGTTAGATGTAGATGTTTATAAGCCACACCATCAAATTGCCTTAAGGTGGAATGACTGTGTGATCATTTGTGAGTTGCTTGTAAAAATTATAGAACGAAATAGCAAGCGTAGTGTAAAGCGACCCCCAATAGATAGACAACGGGTTTAGAGCTACGCAAAAGGCTAAGGCGACCGTCTTTGAGGGATGCCTGTGTGTGTTAAGCAATGTACGATACGATGGCAGCAACGATCATGATAATGGTGACGAAACACTTAAGATGTATTTACTTGCAAGAATACATTTTCCCGGGATTATTTAAGATCTCTTTAAGTCACAATAACCACAAAGCCTTAGGTGGACTACTCTTTGTTTTTTAAATCCTTTTTTTATCAGCTCGAAGTCTATAGTTAAACAGGCCCTGTTTCTATTTGATCTGATTTCTATGGTATGATTGCAGTAATGGACACATTTTTGTGTCAGATTAGAGATAGCAATAACGGCTTATGTCCATATGCGTTAACTAAAGCTTATGAAAATTATTGATTATGAGATAATCCTCGCATTTTTACTAGGTGATAGCACTTTTTATACTAAGGCCTCCGTTTGGGAAGGTAACACACTCTTACCTATCTCTGCCGCCACACACCAGTGCTAGAAGTACTGTATTCCAGTATGAAGTATGTAGAGAGCTAGATAATTACCGAATATGGAGCATTCCATCTTAATCCTCAGAGGTGACAACGCACCTGTAACTTTCTTTGTTTGAAATTAGCTGCAAGTGCCCATGGAATACAGTAGACTCTTACCATCAGGTGGACGGTAAGTTCATTTTGTCGCTTCAGCTTTATAATAAAAAAAATGTGGCGTCAGGCGACCCGTCAGGATCGAAGTTCCTTAAGTGTATGTAAACAGTAAATACTTGTATTAAATTATATGATTTATTAAACCACTTTTATAAGTTTGCATTATTTACACTTTTTGTAGTTTCTGTTTCTCTATCATTATATCTCTAGTATTCTCTAATAATGACACAATATAAATGCCGCGTGAATTAAAACAATGAAAAATATTTGCATGTGTTTAGAATTGAGGTTATACATAATATCTGATCGCGCACAATGCTTGCTGTTCGAATCTCAACACTCGCACGAACACACACACACACACACACACACACACACACACACACACACGCACGCACGCACGCACGCACGCACGCCCGCAGCGCACACACACACACACATAACCGAATATATATATATATATATATATATATATATATATATATATATATATATATATATAACATAACATAACATAAACACTCACGCCTGTCACCCAGAGGGGTAGGCAGAGACTACAGACTTCCATTTGGCACGATCCTGACACACCTCTCTTGCCTCCTTCACATTCATACACCTACGCATACATGCTCGTCGGTTAAGGGTACTCCTAATTTGGCCCGTTTTCAATAAATCGCCAATGTGGTCGACAAACTTCCGCCTAGGACGTCCCTTTCCGACTCTGCCATTCACTTCTGCAAATTTTCTTTGTCACTCTTTGCTCATTCATTCTTTCCACATAACCAAACCACCGAAGCATTCCTTATTACACAATTTCTTACCCTGTCATTCAGATTCAGCCCTAACATACTCCTTAACGACCGCATTTCTACTGCGTTTATTCTAATCTCGTGCTTCTTCTGCCACACCCAACTTTCACTACCATACGTTAAAGTAGGGACCAACACAGCATTGTGAATTGCCATACGTGCCTTTTTCGACACATTTTGACTCTTCACAATAGAGTGCAAGGCCCCATTTACTCTATTTCCCGCATTCACTCGTCGTTCTATATCCTTATCATATCTCCCATCCCTGCTAAATACGCAGCCCAAATATACAAACTCATCTACTTGCTCGATCAACTCCCCCTTCTATTCTTATTTCACAAATCGTTTTACATTCTTCTCTTTCAAAAACCATAACCTTCGTCTTACTTGCGTTCACTTTCATACCCCTTTCTTTTAATGATCCGTTCATTAATGTAACCATCATTTGCAACTCGGCCGCCGACGACGCAAGAATAACTTGATCATCGGCGTACAAAAGGCATTTGACGGTTAACTCACCCATTCTTAATCCGCATTCTTCAACTTTCAAATTTTGCAAACAACTGTCCATAAATAGGTTGAACAGCCACGGGGAAGCCACACATCCCTCTCTGACACCTTTATGGATGTCAAATCAGTCCGAGTAGACCCCGTTGATCCTAACACAAGCACTAGAGTCCCTATAAAGAGACTTCAATGCCTGTATCAAGCCAGCGCTCAACCCAAATGAGTTGAGTGTTTGCCATAGCAAATCCCTATCCACTCTGTCATAAGCCTTTTCCAAGTTCATGAACGCACAAAAAACCTTTTGGTTTTTGGCCAGAAACTTCTCCGCGATCATGCGCATGGAAAAGACTTGATCTGTACATCCCATTCCCTTTCTAAATCCCACTTGCACATCCCAAATTTTTCCATCAGTTTCTTTCATGACCCTTTCAATCAGTACCTTAGCATACAGTTTTCCCACAATGCTAAGAAGGCTGATGCCACGGTAGTTTTTACAGTCCTACTGCGACCCTCTTCCTTTATATACTGGGACTATCACGGCTTTGCACCAGTCTACCGGTACCCGCTTCAGTTCCCAGCATAAATTAAACAAGGTGTTTAAAGGCAAATTATTGTAAATTACTGCAAAAACAACCCCTTTTACCCTTCTAATTTTTATACTAGATCGACAGATTTTGAATTAAGCAACAATGCAACATAAAGTTCACAGCTGTATGTTTATTACTTTAAGAATTATTGTTGTTTGAACATGGCGTATGCCCAAACACAAAAGACCTTTGTTAAGTGACAACTGGCACTGCCTGCCTAGGAGTAATAGTGTTCTGTGCCGCCTGCTCTCAAATTATACTACTTATAAATGATGATTCTGATTCTCTGATCTCTAATTCATCATCTCTAATTCATCGAAGATCATAAGTAATCTCAGATTACTATTACTCCTAGGCAGGCAGTGCCAGTTGTCATTTAACAAAGGCCTTTTGTGTTTGCGTATATGCTATGTTCAAACAATAATTCTTAAACTAATAAAGATACAGCTGTAAACTTTATATTGTATTGTAGCTTAACTCAAAATCTGTCGATCTAGTATAAAAATAAAAAGGGTGAACGGGGTTGTTTTTGCAGTAATTTACAATAATTTGCCGATTAGCATATTTTTTTGATATTTATTTGAAGTTAAATTTTTTTTCTTCAAAGTTACAAGTATGTCAACAAAAATTTTGATAATGTAAACGATAAACAATATTATTGGCCTTCTGAATGAGTAATTTTTATCTCAGTAAGACTAAAACTTTCAGAGATATGACTTTTTTCGTAAACGCGTAGAGAATATCTCAAGAGAAAAACAAAATGGCTGCCAAATAAAGGGGGGAGGGGATTAGACCTCAGTGTGTAGTGTATTTTTATATAAAAATAGCTGTATTATAAGCACCTAAAATATCGCTAGTCCGTGACCGGACACACTGTATATAATATAAAAAAAATTATATATATATATATACATATGTATATATATATATATATATATATATATATATATATTATATATATATAATATATATATATATATATATATTATATAAATAATAGAAACAGAAGAAGAGAGAGAGGGTAGGTCTGGAGGAGGCATAACGCTATTGACTTAGGTGACGATTTCCGCCAGTTCACTCTGAGCTGATTATGAGAATTTTTGGAACTGCTCACAATATCCATGAGTCAAGATGAGGTAAAGAATTGTTTTACACCAAAATGCCAAGATAACAGTATACTATACCTTGCTTGCTCTGTCCTTCTTGTAGCCGTAGTTTAGCTTCGGCACCCGGGCCGTACGTTTGCTGCGCTGGAGTGGGAGCGGGTGCGGCCGCGGACACTGAAGCGGGGGCGGGGGCGGACGCAATAGTGTCCTGCGAGCTCCCCGTCACCACCGTTAGCTTGTTGAATAGACCACGCCCGAAGTACTCGGACACCACTGCGTATCTGAGAATTTTTAGTGCACTGCTGAACATAGCCCTCCCGATAGATCGCTGCATAGGCGGGATATTTGCCACGGTTGTTACGCTTGGCAGGTGTGTTTACGAATTCAGTTTTTTATTATTATTTTGAGTTGTTCTCACAAAGATGCTGCTGTCCACATTCTGTTTATGTCTCTTTGTCGCCTCTTGCGACATGAAATGATACGAGGTAGTTGATTCCCTTAGGCTGCCACTACACGGCGAACTGTATACAGTCCGAGTATTATATAATTTTTTTTAATAGAATAAGGGTGACAATTGAGTACACAGTCCACCTGATGGTAAGTGGATGCTATGGTCCATAGACATCTAGATCTATCCTTGATTAAGAATCCCTGAGGATTAAGATGGAATGCCTCGTTTCCAGTAAAAAAGGGTCTCCGGATCTCTACACTCACCATACGAAACACAGCAGTATTAAGCCGCTATTTACGCTGGTTTTCTGTATGAGCGTGGTTCTTCCTCGGTCGGTCGAGTCGACCCATTCGTGCTACAACCATAATTTAGCAGCAGCGTGGCTCTACCACGTGAAACATGAAGATGCCGATGTCCACATTCTGTTTGCTTTTTTTGAAATGGAATGCCACGAGGTAGTTAATTTCCTTAGGCTGCCATTACACGGCGAACTGTATATACATAATATATGTTAGTAGTGTAACAGAATTTTTAAGCTATTGCATAGCTTCTATCGCGGGCCTTGAGCGCGGGGACGAATTTCTCCAGAAATTCCGTAACCGTAACGAAAAAAAAACCTCACGCTCCCCACTCCGACGGGCACGGAGGTGTGGCGTTGAAAGCCGTGCATCGTCTAACGTCGTTTCAGTTATTCCACTCGGCAGACTTCGGCACGGTGTTTGTGTGCGTGCGACTAGACGTATGCGTGTACACTAGCTGCTAACTCAATGATAAAAATTCCTGAATAACCTACATGTATTGTAAGATATTAAAAATATTTTAAACAATATTAACTTCTCATTTATTCAATAAGAGAAAAAAAATTGTTTTCTTATCGGTCACCACGCTCAAAAAGTGTAACTTGATTAAAAATCAAAGACTTAACTGCATAAATAAAATAAATAAATAATTATAATTGCATAAGTTGATAAAAAATACTATGCAATAGCTTCACCGCGGCAGTAACCGAGTGCCACACGTATTTTTTACTTTAAAAATGATGTGACTACACAAAGATTTTATCCTGTATCGTGGAGGCTTTGCATAGATAAATTGCTTATGGCTTACACATACATAAATGATACATACGGAATCGAGCCCGCGAATCCGCGATGCCACAGATAGACGCTTAGCCACTGCGCAATCGAGCCGCAAATACTTTACGGACCTTTGACATGAAAGCATGTTCAGTCTTCAACAAGCAAAACTCCAACACTTAAAATTGCCTTTAACAATTATTGTAGAGCCGCCGTGGGATTAATTCTGAATCTAGTGCTAAAAGCAGAGCCACCAAACACCCAGCCCGTGAGTTACTATGCATTTATCCGCATATGTAACCATCTTTTATTTAGACCAGAGGCATCATCAAAATTATTTGTGCGTACAAACATTTTTCAAACAATACACACATTTTTCAGTTCGATTGTTACAGCCTCGTTCCGTTGTTAGCAGTGTGGGCAAAAAAGTAAACATATGGAGAATAAGTCACTATATTCTTATTAATCAGTACAATCCACAATGACACTTAAAAATTTAAAATAAATAAATAATCGTCACGGAAAAAGTAAATTATAAACCATACAGTAATCATGCATTGCATTTGTTATCTGCAATGAAATTGAATCGAATTAAAATTATACATTCATAACTTCATTTAATTTCTTATAAAGAATAAAACAGTACCTAATTTCTATGTCATTTTTAATTTCCATATTTAATACCTACGCAATCAGAAAGATTTTTAATTATCTTAAATCAACGCAATGTTAAAACAATTACCCAACGTGGCGGTCGGAGACAGTGTTTTGAAAACACCAAGAGAACGGCGGAATCATAACAAAAAACTTAAAACTCGGACACTAAAACTTATGTGTTGATTAACATATGTGTTGATAAACGTTTAGGATATAGATAACAACTGTAATAAAATATTCGTGAAACAGCGCGTGCACACTGTTTCCGTTTCCGTTCACACAAGCGACACTGACTATTTACACGGAGCTCGAAGCACGAATAAGAATTATTATACCTCGCCGTGTGATGGCGCCGTAAGAAAATATTCATAGTGACATTGGTGTGGTTACAAGTAAGGCTGACATTCTGCTGGTTTTCGGCAGTTGACGGATTTACCAAGCGAATAAACCAGTCCTAAAATGTCTAGATCGGGATGTGTACAGAGATGGAAGCACTACTTTGAAAGCGTGTTTAAATATGATGAGATGAAGAAGAAATTTCGAAAGAAAAGAAATGAAATAAAGATAGCAGTGAAACCCATGGGAGCATGTAAGGCAGCTGGCTATAATGAAGTGTCAAGAGAAATGCCGAAGACTGTAGAGGGAGTAGTAGTAAACCTGCTGTACACTTTCTTTAATTTATGCTGCAGGAACTTAAGCGAACACCGGAAGACCTGGCGATCAATATCGGCAAAAGGTCACAAGAGGACTGTAAAAACTACCGCCGTATCAGCCTGCTCAGCATTGTTTTGAATAACAATAGAAGGGGAGTTGCAAACTCATCCACTTGCTAAAAAGACATGACAAAGATAGAAGGAGTGAATCCAGGACACGAGTGAAAAGGGTTCTTCACTCTATTCCGGGAAGTCAGGATGTGTAAATTAGGCACGAAAGTTAAAACAAAATGTTGTGTTAGTGCCTATGTTAATGTGTGGTAGTTAAAGTAATGTGTGGGAGAAAAAGCAAGAGTGTGGTCTGTAAAAAATGTGTCCAGGATTAAGAAAATAATATTTCGATGCTTGGAACACGCCGGCAGAACGAATGACGAAAGAGTGACTTTAAGAACATTTATGCTGCAGAAGAGAGTGCCAAGGTCTGCAAGTGTCGCCCTAGACGAAGGTGTGTTGACAAATTAGCGATATATTGACAATGGGCTAAATTAAAACTACCTTTAATCGACGAGCATGTATTTGTTGAATGTATGGATGTTAAAGAATTGAGAGAAGTTCGTCAGGATCAGTAACGTGCCTAATGATAATCCGTAGTCTCTGCATACTCTTCTGGGTGATGGGCGTGGCAGTTTATGTATTTTATATATGTGTGCAAAACAATTCATAAAATAAATGTATTGTAAAGACTCTGTAGCCATGGTTGCCTGAGGAAAAGTGTATGGCCGCGAAGGATCAGGTGGCGGATCGTGCAATGACTATTGCGATTACTGTTAGCAACAAATATTTGTGTAACCTACTAATATAATGAACTGAAGTAATTTCAAACGCCTCCACGCTACAGGAAATGTCTAGCGTGGGGCTAAAGTTCCCTTAAAAGAAATGAAATAAAATAACGAAATAATCACTCAAATTATCATTAATTTATTTGACCATTGCATGGAATCGGAATTTTTTTCTATTATAATTATTTGACTTAAAAGTCTAAGTTACAGCGCCGCATTAAAGTCGAAGTATAGGTATTAAGTATAAGTATTCATTTTACACTAGTGATCGTTCACTGGCCGAAATTCGTCTTTGATTAAATTTTTAACTTTGTACATTAACCAAGTTGTGTATATTTTATTGTTAACCGCACATTAATATATAAAACACAGATATCTTAAATAAAAAATTATTGATTGAGATTTTTGAAAACGGAACATTTGAAATCACAGGTGATTCATAGTCATTTAAACGTGGTAGAGCCCCATGCTGCAGCTATAATACAGTTGTAGCGCGAGTGGATCGGCACGACCGGGGAAGCACCACGCATTCACAGAATAAAATAGCCAGCGTGAAATAACTTAATGCTGCTGTGTTCCGTATGGTGAGTGTAGAGAACTTTTTACTGGAAACAAGGTATTCCATTTTAGTCCTCAGGGTGATAAAGCATCTATATTTTGATTCTTCATCCACGTTACTTACCATCAGGTGGGATGTGTGCTCGCTTGTCATCCTTATTCTATAAAAAAAACAAAATTCACAGCCATTCAATCAATCTGTCACTTAGTTGTCAACATTTTAAAATTCTTTGTCAAAATTTCTACTCTGTGCGATTGTTTGACCACAGACTATTATGTGATTGATATTGGCAGTATGAATATTTTTAAATATTATCAAAAATATTTTTCTTACATTAAGTTAAAAGCAGAATGTTTACTTAAAACACAGACGTTTTCACCTCTTATTTATTCCAATGATATTATTTACACAGGTGACAATTTCCTCTATGAAAGATAAATATATAAAAGTATATCAATATAAAATAAGCATTTAAACGCTTTGTTGAAACTTACAGTAATCTTTATAATACTTTATACTATTAGATGACAATGTGGTAGGAATCCTTTTGAGTCTACGTAGGTAGCTAAAAAGCAGAGCTTGCATATCTGTGATCTGGTCTATATATAGAGTCAGTATAATTACAGGTCTTTGTATGAAGTTGGCCGCAGGTATACATGAACTGACGACTCCGTAGCGCAGTGATTTAGCAATGCATTACGGCTCCGGCTCCCGGCCGCGGGTTTGAATCCCGCACAGACAAGTATTTGTGTGACCTATAAGTATATAAGTATATATACTATAAGTAATTGTTCCGGGTCTGGATGTTTGTCCTTGTGTAATTTATGTATGTGAATTGCCTTCATGATACAGGAGAAAATCCTAGTATAGGAGTAACGTATTTTTAAAAAACAGAAAAAAAAACAACTGAAGTAGCCACTTAATATCGCAGCCACGTAGGTACTTACGGGTCGTGTTCCTTGTGCAGTCGCGAGTGCAACGTTTCAGCAGTTTGTGGAGGCGGTTCGCTGCGCTGTTTCGGCTGAGAGCACGCCGGGCATTCGCATTCCGTCTCCGAGAAGCTTTGGAAGCAGCTGACATAAAAAAAAAATCAAATATACTGGATGAACTTTTTTACAGACTGGAAAAAACAGTGTATGACATGTGAACGGAGTAGAAGCCTATAAGCACTGATATTTTACAAAAAATAAAAAACAAAATTTTGAATTAAACGCTTGAAAACATTTTTGGAACAATTAGTTTACCGTTTGCCCACGAGCCTGTGATCCTGCGAAGTGAGAAGGTCAAATATGATACTAAATGCATTGTTTTATTGTCGTTCGTAAAGTAGGGTAAATATGATTTGAATTTCGTAAAATTAATTTATTTATTTAATTCAAAATTTGTTTTTTTTGTTATTATTTTTTTGCTACATTCACATGAAATCTTTTCCAGACCGCAAAAAGGTCATCCAGTATACACAATTTGCTATAATCTACGTGTTAAATGTTTCACTCGAATAACAAGTAAATCTAGGTTTATCCGATCTTAAATCTAAAATCCAATTAAAATAACTATGCCTTATGTATGAAAGCACACATAAAGTGATGTCGACGAGAGTAGGTTAAGATGCCGCCGATCGGGTGTGTCTCAAAGTCCGCAATCATTTATGAAATATCATCATAAATACAAGCTTAATGGCTAAAGCAGTATTTAAAAAACTCGACTGAAAAGAGAATTTTTTATACACTGTGGTACTTCCACAACTATGACGAGTCTAAGGACAGCCTTATATGTTAAAATCTACCAAGTCATTTAGGTTGCAGAATGTACCAAGGTACACACTCTCGAATAACCTTACCCTTCCTCTCGGGCAGTCGGGTAACAAGCGACAGGCAGATCAATGGAGCGGATTATATACTCGGAAAGTCGAAGGCTAAAATCCTGCTTGACCTGCGGTGAACCACCCATAAAACAAGCTGTAGCAAAAAGCACCTGGTAAACATAGATTTACCCATACTTCGGGCATTACCAATGTCCTCCAGACCGATTTCGGTCACGGCGGCCAGTCTCAACGGAGACTAGAGCTCTGCGCAGGACAGGATTGTAGTGCTCGAGTGTATGCGCAAGTAGAGTTGCACTCTCTATTCCCTCACTTTCATAGTCCGACGGGACTATAATTCGACACGACCAACGGCTTTACGCGCCTCCGAGACACTGACCGGAGACTGCCACCTTCCTGACTCCGGGCTGCTGCTGAGAATTTCATACAGGAAAACCCAAGAACTGATTTTGGCTCGACCCGGGATTCGGACCCGGAACCTCATGATTAGCAATCGTGTTTACGACCACTAGACCAACGAGTCGGATAGGAAATATGAGAGGATGTCTCATTACTACCAGGGGCTTAGAAGCAGGAACGAGTCCGCTGAGCTGCCTCAATGCATTCACATATTCTCGAAACATGTTTTTTATTTCTGAGTTTTTTATTTGGAGCAGACAAAACTCACTTCTTTGCACTCGAAAGAGCTCAGAGATCACTTATCAAAGTCATCTACTCCAAACCTTATCGTTTTCCCACTGATAAACTATATAGAATGAGTGGCCTACTCACAGTCCGAAAACTCTATATTCTGAATCTCATCTTAACGTGCCACAAATCTCTACCTTATGTCGACCTAAGTCATAAAAGAAGGAAGGATGTCGTTGCACCCGTCATTGCCGCACGTACTGCGTTCGCTAGAAGACAATATAGTAGGCAGTTTGCTTATATATACAACAAAGTAAACAGTATACTTAAAATATACCCCATGTTATCTTACACTTGCAGGAAAACTGTAAAAGAATGGTTGGATTCACTTAGCTATGAAGATGTTGAAAACCTTTTCATAAGAATTTGTTAAAATGTTTGGTTCAACTAAAGCTGGTTCCTGTATGCGGAGTGTTCATACCGATCCCAAGGAACCTTATCTGTAGGGCATACATGTAACCGACACATGCACACTCCCATACAGACACGAGCTCGTATACATACACTTATTCACACACTACATGCACATATACATGTACACACACACGTACACATACACACACACACACACACACACACACACACACACAAACACACACACACGCACACACATGTACATTTTATATACTACCATACATGCTTACATGAAAATAGTTCATTGCCACTAGAGCCGCAATTTAAATTTAAATTATATCAAAAATGTTATATTTCAATATAAAAAAAAAACAATGTAAACCATACCATTCTAAACTAACCTTTTAGATATAATATACCTACCTAGTTTATCTTATTTAGCCAACCGTAAGGGAAGTAGCGAGTTATTCCCAACACAAGTGTCTCTGACTACTTAAAGGGAAGACTCGACAAATCTTTGTAATAGGATTTTTGGAAATAAAGGAAATTTTTAATTTAATTTAAATTTTTAATTTTTTATTTCTGAGTTATGCAGATTTCCCTACGTTTGTCCTCAGCGTCAAGCACGTGGTAAATAAATCATAAAATTGCAACCAGCTATTTTATTGCAGTCAGCGAGGATCGAAATCAAGTTGCTTACGTAGTGTAAAATTTGCAGCAAGCGCCTACTCCTTTCTAAAAGGCCGGCAAAAAACCTGCAATTCGTTTGGTATTGCAGATGTTCATGAGCGATGATAATCATTTACTATCAGGTGAGTCCCATGCTCGTTTGCTTTCTCTTACATAAAATATAATAATATCATACACAATAAGATAATAGCTTTATTCTTAAATTTCTACATAAACTTACTGCTGATGGAAAGAGTGCTGACAGAAGAAATGAACAGTGGGCAACTCCAATGGTCTATTGCACGCCGCGCATCTCGAACTTTGGAAAGTGATCGGCTCATTTTGAATCACTTGTATGTGCGCTTTCATTTTCTCAGTCTCACTTTTGTATTTTGCGGCCAGTTCTTGCTCTCTGTTTATCACTTCTTCCTCCGATTTCAAAACGTCCATAAGGTATCTAAAAATCAAACAACGCTGAGACATTTCACACGATATATTTTTTAAATTCACTGAGGTGATCAACATAAGCTCAAACCACCAGACAATAAGAAAAGGCAGTTAGTTATCGACATGTTATGTTATCGATTGTTTAATTTGTTCAATTATTGGTTGCGGTCACGTCCCGCGTCGGTTTTCGGCATACGTCAACCAGCAATTGTTCTGTAGTTGAGCTTATCTATTGACCGTTATTTTGCGGACGAATTAATCGAAAATCGAACAGAGAGAGAGAGAGAGAGAGAGAGAGAGCCCAGAGAGAGAAAGAAAGACCATAGAGAGAAAGAGAAAGAATGAGAGAGGGAAAGTAAGAGAGAGCGGTACGACGAATTCTCTTCACTTCTTCCCCAAAGAGAAGACTTTTTCACTTTCTAGTATACTACGAGTATATGGTAAAACCGCAAAGCATTGACAATGCCATTTTTCGTTCGAAACACTAATGTTATATTTTACATATTATACGCTAATATCTATGTTTACGTGTTTCTAAAGGTGTGAGGATCCGATATCAAATCATGTTTGCATAATTGAATCCATAACCTAGTCGTCAACGTGGGTGCCGTAAGAGGCGATAGAAGGAAATAAAACAGGAGACGAGCAGCAGTATCTTACTGACAACAACTCAAAATAATTCAATACTACGATTGCCAACTCGGCTGCTAAGCGTGGTAACTATGACAAATGAGTAAATCTATGGGTAGGCCTATGACTAGCAATGAACATTTGAGAGGCTTTAATGATTGAAAGAAATTGAATTTGAACGAATCTGGGGACGGTGACATCTAAACAAAAGGCTTCTTGGCTGTGGAGACCACTCCAAATTCCGTTTCGTTACAGCCCATCAACAATCCACTGCTGAACACACAGGCTCCTCCATATATTGACTTGTAGGGAGCTATTTGCCATAGTCGCCGCGCTTGATATGCGGCTGAGCAACCGCTGTATTTTTAGTTGTTATGAGAAAGACGCTGTTGCACATCTTCTGATTTGTTATTATCTGTCATCTCTTAGGCCACCTACGGAACGATATAGAGTAGTGGATATTTTTTTACTAAATAGAATATTCTATTATTATTTATAATAATTATTATAATCCGTTGCCTACAAATTTGAGTCAACCATAATGCTATATGGTATTCTCTACTAGATAACCTTGTTTCAAATTAATTTTATTAAAAAAACGAAACGGAATTGTTTTTTCAAAATTTGTCACTTGTTTATTGATTAGCTTTATGTCATCATAGCATTTAAATTTTTTTGTCCTCATGGATACATTAAAAATTCAAGTACTTATGCAATATAAGTACCGTCCTGACAGCAACACGAACAAGCTGCATGCAACATTGATGAGGCTTACGGAGCAAATACTACAAACGAACGCACCACCACCACTACAAACAACGCAAAATTCGGACATGAAAAAGTGAACCCCGGGGGCGTCCGTAATAAATGTTCACTGCTGGACAAGGATCTATTTTGTAGTAGGATTTATCATAACCGCCACGCTTAGCTGCGGATTGGTTATCGCAGTAACATTCGATACTGTTGCCGTTCTGGCTCTGGGTATTATATTTGGCGTCAACGAGATGGTATTACTGCTTTCTATCGTAAGCCATTAGACTTTTCTCGTATTTCTCATAGTCGCCTCTTCCACGGGACGCAATGGTGTGACTAAAACCATATCTAGATGCATTTTAGCGAACTTAAAAAAAGGAGATTCTCAGTTCAACTGTTATTTTTATTTCACATTTCAATATAACTATTTAGCTATTACATTTGGCTATATTCCTTAATTCACTCAAAATATTAATCTATAAAAATAAATAAATTAGAAATGTCAGATTGTAATGTCAAAATAACAGCTTTTTACTAAATGCATATGAAAGTATATACGGTACTTATAACAAAAACACAATTTTAAAAATATTTTTCTGTCTGTTTATTCCAGTTAATCTCCAAAACGGCTGCACCGATTTTGACGGGACTTTCACTGGCAGGCAGCTGATGACTTTTTACTGAAAGTTTAATCTTTAACTTAAGTAATTTAAAATAAATCGTAATCTTAGAACCAACTATTTTGATAATAGTAGTGTGAATGCCACCTTATCCCATGATAACGGATGAGCGCATTATCTAAAAACTTACTTGCGTACATCTCCAAGTGTGTATGACTGTGAACTGGCAAGGCAATCAATGACTAGAATAGGTGATAGAAGCTTCTCTGTGGCTGCAATAGAAAATAAATCATTGATGAATGTTGTTCACCCCTATAATAAGTTCAAATATATCATAATGACGAGTAAACAGATGAAAATCAAACTACTTTATCAACTAGTTGTGGAGTACTAATGACGATGTGGTGAATTAGCAGTTAGCTTGTCCACCGAGTTATGGGTCATAGATTACATTCCTTATCTGGGTTGTATGTGAAAAAATAATGATTATCGGCCTTTTTGGTCTAAATGCATAACAAGGCCAATGCATCCAAACCTTGTTTTTTACAAAATAAGTGTGACCAACAGGCACACAGTTCAATACACTCACTCAATTCAATACATTCACTAAACGAAACCTACACCGGTTGAGCCGACTTATTTATACTATATATCAAGCATAGCTGCACCATAACCTTTCCTCGACCTCGATGTTATAGCATAAGTGATAGTTCGGACTAGTCGTGTCAATCGTGAACAATTCTTTTGTTTGATCCGGGTCGCTTATAAGTATTTATGACTGCAATTATTCGTTTTTAAAGATCCGGTTCGACAAACTGTTGACAAAACATTTTTAAGCATTTTTCTTCTATATTACATAAATATTTATTGTTTAATCGAATGACTTGAGATTTGAGATTTTTTGAGACTTGAATCGACATTGCAGACTTAACACAAGTTACTGCATAACAAAATCAAAAGTACTCACCTCAATCACATCAAATTAATTATCCCGTACAGATATCCCCGATATCCAATTCGCAAACTATTTAAGGCCGCATACGACGCGAATGACCTTGCTAGTTTCGCAGCAAACCACGCGCCGCTAGTACCTACGCTTTGTTTATATAGACATGTATAATACCTATAATCAAAGCCGTACGGGCTTTGATTATATTTGACTGAACTAGCTCAGATGTAGAGCAATGAACAACACAGAGAGCATTGCTTACTTCTTAAATAAATTTTTCTTATTTATTAGTTCCAATAGATTATAAATTCTGTACTCTATTCGTTATAAAATATTGTTCGAAAAGTTATTGAATTGATAACGATTTTTTTCTTAATTGGTGCATCGTACGTAAAGAATCTCATATAACTGAAAATGTTTGTTCTTGTGAGTCTTACAAGATTCCGTAATGCAAATTGCATAAATAATAAAGAAAAAAAAACTAAAAAGCCGGTGATTGCCCCATAGTGGGGATAGGTACTGTGTATGTAAATTCTCACAAGACTACTCCGACTGGTCAATCACTTCACATCCGAAGTATTTCGGTTTTTTCTTAATTATGTACATTATTTGCGGTCTCTGTGCTTGCACTACTCTGTACATTCTTTTCCGACTGGGTCTTGATATTTTACATTTTTAGTGTTTCTCACTTGAAACTAGAAAAGTATAAATGATCAGTTTGGCTAATGTAAATGAGTAAAAATGCAACCTATTAGGCAGTCTCAAACAAAAAATTACCTTACTAAATATAAGTATTAACCTCAAAATACAACATTCGAGCAGCGTTCATGCGATAAACTCTCTTTGTTTTACCACTTAGGTAACATTTATTTCTTTTCCTACCCATATTTACATTTATAGACACTTAAACGCGTATAAAACAATAAATTAACGATTTTCGCTACAGACACATCGACTGTTGTTACCTTACGTCACACGTCGAAGCGCCTGGTAATTTATTACGGCAAACTTTTATCTGGCAATATACGATATTATTATTAGGTGTTTTTAATTAAAACGAATTATGTTAATAAATAATATTTTGTATCGAAAATAAAGATAGCAGGTACCTTCGGAATTACAATACAAACATTTTTATGTAAAAGAATTTTTCCTAAATTAAAATTCACAGAGTTTTGGAAGAACAATAATTTTATATATCATTTTTTAACATTCTTTTATTTGTTGATATATTCATTTATTTTAAAATTTTAAAATAACGGTGACATTGTGAAGGACCCGAACAAACCTACAAAAATGTTTTAAAGCTTAGGATTACTTCAGGTCAATGTTCTAGTCAAGAGAAATACATTAATTTTCGCCAGTTCTCTTCGTATTCGGCCTTAACATACCTTGCCACAAAACAAATTTAGGCGCGCATTATCCCCTAGCCAGAATATGTAACACATACAATGAAATTATGACCAAGATACCGGACATTGACATTTTCAATGACTGCCCGATGCTTCAAAAAAAAAATTTACCAATTTCTTTTCACCCTCTCAGCACACACTCATTCCTTAGTTAGTTTTTTCTTAATATAAGTTATTTTGTATTCAGTACCATTATAATATAATAAGCTACACATTACGGTAAATGTTGTGTATATTTGTAATTGACAAGCATATTTAACCATATACATTTGTTATCGTGTTGTTGATATTTCATGTGTTTTCTTTTGGTATACCTTATAAATAAATAAATAAACTTGAGCTTGCGACCTGCCAATTAAACCTAACGTATGCGAGGTGCGAAATTCACCGAGTATTGAAATCCGAAGTAAGCCATATAATTAAACAAAATTACCTGATTCGTGTAAAGAATCAATACTTGGTTTTTCGGGTCACTAGAAATCAATTGATACACGTCTACATCGGATTATAACACAGTACTGCGTCTTCTTGTGATATGCGTGGCCCGCCAACTTTGAGCTAACCCTTGTTTTTAATAATCCGAAGTCAGAACTATTGGTAAAACAGGGGTACAATGGGTCAAAGTTCAACTTACCGGCCACTCGCAGCGGCTCGGGTAGACAATGCGAAGGAGGAGATGCTCGCAACATGTCACGCCACAGCTGCGGACTTGCGGCCCCGCATCGCCTACACACTTCCAGCGCTGATTCCGCTGCGCCACTTCGTAAATGTAATGCTAGAGTTCAACTTACCGGCCACCCGCAGCGGTTCGGGTAGACAATGCGAAGGAGGAGATGCTCGCAACATGTCACGCTACAGCTGCGGACATGCGGCCCCGCATCGCCTACACACTTCCAGCGCTGATTCCGCTGCGCCACTTCGTAAATGTAATGCTAGAGTTCAACTTACCGGCCACTCGCAGCGGCTCGGGTAGACAATGCGAAGGAGGAGATGCTCGCAACATGTCACGCCACAGCTGCGGACATGCGGCCCCGCGTCGCCTACACACTTCCAGCGCTGATTTCGCTGCGCCACTTCGTAAATGTAATGCTAGAGTTCAACTTACCGGCCACTCGCAGCGGCTCGGGTAGACAATGCGAAGGAGGAGATGCTCGCAACATGTCACGCCACAGCTGCGGACATGCGGCCCCGCGTCGCCTACACACTTCCAGCGCTGATTCCGCTGCGCCACTTCGTAAATGTAATGATAGAGTTTCGCGCCATCTAACAACGGAATAAGTTTGTTTATTTCTTGTGTTATGGGCAACTTTTTATGGGCCGTCAAAATTATATTTTACAGTAGTAAAAGACGTCTTCGTGTGGCGGGAGCCTAACCACAGAGTAAGGACCAGAGGGGAAGCTTCCTAACAACGTCGAAAATGTATACCTATTTTGATAGGGTTGAATGTGAAAATTTTAAGGAAAAAATAATAATATTATATAGTATAAAACAACATGTAGTTTCATTGTAACTTAAATTAATATAACAACATGTATATTTATTGTAACTTAAATTGAAACTGCAAAAATGGTATATTTTGCTAGTTTTCATAGTATTATGACTTATAGAATCTTGCTGTAGGGTAAAGCGGCGAATATTGAGAAAATACGTGCAATTTATAATTAAAAACCGCGCGAAACCTTTTGCTCTCTCACTGAAGCTTCATAATAGTGATAGTGGGCAGTGGCGGTGGTTGTGGTGTTGATGGTAATAGTGGTGGTGGTAATGACTGTGGTGGTGATTCTGGTCGTGGTGGTCGTCTTAGTGGCGAAGGTGTTGGTGGTGGTCCACTACCCACCACCACCAACGATACTACAAGCACCATTACCGCTAACACTACCTTTACCACTGTCTGGCAATTGTATTATTTTTACTCGAATTTTTATATATAATGTACAAGTGTAAGGTATTAATTTATACAGAACACTAATTAATTACTTATATAAATCTATAATGTCTCATTTTATACTAAATAATCTCTAAACGGAGCTCCAATAGTTTTAAAAAGTTATAATATCACGAAATATTGTTTTTTCATTTATTTAAATGCACAAGACTAAAAGCCCTTTCATTTACTCTACAGCTGGCACAAACCGGTTGGTACCCCGACGGAGCATGGGTGAACCTGTCGGTGAGAGCTCATGCTCACATCGCTGTGCTATGTATGGGTATAGTAGCATCGAGCCGTTTGTATGTAGCTTCCACTCTAGTCGGTTTCTTTACACACGTGGCCTAACTATCCATCACTCCATTTCGTCCCGAGGATGTAAGAGACAACGATAGGAAAAGCCATAATTGTATTGCTTTCGATGAATGACGATATAACCTCGTCAGGTATAAAATGCGCAGACCGGCGACGGACAGCCTCAAAGATGCGAGACGTCTGGCACTACGATAGTCAATTGGTCTGCCAAGCGTGATGATTAAAACAAATCATGAGCTCCTTAACGATAGAGGACCATGTTCAGTTCAGTGGACTTTTACGGACTGATTACGATGATGAGGTGACGTCATAGTTTTCTATGATTAGTATATTTTTAATTAAGAAAAAAGATTTAAGATAAAACGGAAAATTCTAATTATTTGATGTAGATTAGATTAGTAGATTTAGTCACCTTATCTAAAATACTATTTACGTTGCTATTTATACCTTTCAAACCGAAAAACATCAGTGTGTTAGCACTGCTATTTAGTAGCAGAAGTAAGAGGGTGATGGAGTAGGCACGGACTGCGAAGCATAAAAGTAGTCCTACCACCTAGTATCACCTAGAATCTTCTGTTGTCTTCAGTTTTCAAAGTCAAAGTAAAACGATTGTATTTAATTTTAGTTTAAAGCTTCTATAAACGTCAAAATCTACACCACTGGTTCGCAAAAATAAGACCTTGGCTGTATATCTATGGGCTAGAAACTACTTTTACAATTATAATCTTCTTACCATCAGGTAAACCGTATGTTCGTTTTTTTTTTTAAAATAATATCGTATCGTAAATTAACGCTCTCACAGAATACCAGCGTAAAATAACAGCTTAATCCTTTTTACTGGAAACTAGGAATTCTATATTAGTCTTCAGAGGTGACAATGCAATGGGTGAGGAGAGATGTAGATGTCAAAGTATCCATTTACCATCAAGTGGACTGTGTGCTCGTTTGTCACCCACGCTCTATTAAAAAACATAACGAAATAACTTGTGACAACTATTAAAGGGTAAAAAGAAATAACTTACAATTTTTTCTCCTCATACAAGTGCAAAATTCCTGCTTTAAATCCGAGCATCTGACAAATAATTAACGTCTGATCTTTATCGTAGTTCGCTTCAGGGTCTTTTAGCACCGTAAATATTTTCTGTTCGTATTGAGGCTTCTCAGCGTCGGGAAGTTTTGCCCTTGGAAACAAAATTGAGTAAGATTATTTGATAATGGCATGAATGGTGGTACCGTAAGAGAATTCACTTATCTATCCAAAATGTGGGAGACTAAAGTTGAAAGTGAGAAATGACAGAAAGACCTCACGCTCTCAAAGAGGTGGGATGTTAATAGTGGTTGCAATCGCAGTTTTTATTTTGAGTAGTTATCAGGAAGATGCTACTACTCATCTCCTGTTTTAGTTTCCATCTGTCACTTACGACACACTTGGGATGATGAGGGCTGGATTAAGGGTGTGTTCCGATATACACTGCGAGCACTGCTCAGTGATCTCACTGGTGAAAAATTAGTTTCGTTATGGATTGCAAGTATACTGCCGCAGTATACTCTAAGGAAATATATAACGTCATAAATCGCCGCTGCCATTTTGTACTGTGAGCACTGGTGCTTTCAAGGTAAGGTGCTCTCAGTACTTTGATCACGTGATCAATAACATAACAGCGCCTAAAGATTTAACAGCTTCCACGAATGATTGTTATTATTCATTTTATCTCAAGATTTTCTAAAATATTGGTTTTTGAGAAATACTTTGATCATTTTTCAGGTTCTAGTAACTTCTTCTTTTAGTTCTGTGTATTTATGAATTTTTTCATTAATGGTTTTTTTGTAGATTATGGGTATATATGTATACTATTTTATTTAATTTGTCGTCATCGGTAAGAATAGCTCTATCAAAGTACATTCTGTGACTGTCGCTCCCAAGAACAGGTTTAGGGGTATATTGATAGTACGGCAGTAGAAGTTGGTTCGGGATCAAACTGTATTTATTTGCAAGCTTTTGATGGACGTAATTAGCAACCTGGTTATGACGATGGGTGTAATCGTGTGTACTATGCTGAGACATGCACTGGTGATATGTTGTATAGTTTCGGGTTGGTGGTGGCATTTTCTACAGCTACCGTTCTGCATGTTTAGGTATTTTCGTATATAGTTTTTATAGTTTCTTGTATTAATTACTTGATCCTAAATAGCAATAAGGAAACCTTCGGTTTCGGGAAAAAGAGAACCTCATTTTAACCATTTATTTGAAGCCAGTAAGTCTACGTGAGGTTGTTCTAAATCGTGTGCATGCTTACCATGTAATTCTTTACTACGCCACTTTGATAGTTTTTCTTTTTCATGGTCAATTACTGTAGTAGATCTATTACCTTGATTACTTAAATTAAGAGGCGTATAATTGATATCGGATTCAATAACTGCTTTATGTAACGGACTATTAGCTGATTTTTACAAAAGAAAGAAGTTTTTGATTTGCCCTTCCCATAACTTTTAAGGATCGATCAGACTCCTACCCCCCCATGGCTCTCTTTATCGTGAGTCGTTCAATTACCGATTTAGGGTGTAGTAAATATTTGTGTTTAGTTATGGTAGTCCTAGTTTTGATTTCTAGATTTCGTATATCTGTGGCTGACCATTTAATAACTCCGAAAGAATAGGACAGTATTGGAATGGCAAAAGTGTTAATAGCTTACTTAGCTTAAGAAGTATAAATTCGCCTCCAGGTCCTTCAAAATAGTTATTGCTAAGGAAAAGTATGAGCACACTGGCAGAATTGGCGAGAAATTAGTTTGCCTTCCTTAAGGAACCCGTGCATTCTGGTCTCTCGCTAAGGCTGTTCAAGGGAATTTCTGTAAGCCATCACTACCATCTTTGAACAGGAAAAACGACTCTCTGGCCCAAGCCGTATAAGAGAAAGCAGACCTTTTCTCTTTTTGCGTCCAACTCGTCTCTTGATGACGGGGGGAATACATCACCGAACATCCCATGGTGTGAGTGATCTATGCCCGATGTGCGATTCACATAGTACTTAGTACGTAAAGCACTCCTCTCTCTGCTCTGGCTAAATCCACAAGTCGAGTGAGCCTGATGGATCCCTCCAATTGTGCTGAAGACGTGTGCTCCAGAGTTGACACAAGTTCTATCATCTTATCCAATACTCTTACTCCCTAGGCGTAGTTCCGAATTCATAGAAGACAGTTTTCGTGCATCCGATCCCCAAAAAAGGCAACCGCTCTGATCCATCCAACTAACTATAGGCCTATCGCCATTACCTCCTTATTTCCTATTTATTTTATTTATTATCCTTAAATTACAAAATAATGGAATCAATTATTAACAGCCAGCGCATGCGGTACCTTGAGGAGAACTATCTGATTAGTGACTGCCAGTACGGTTTCCGTTCGATCGCGATCGAGTCCAAGGCGGAGGCTTTGGCGGTTAGTTTGGCCATAGCGAAGGCTTTCGATCGGGTTTGGCGCAAAGCGCTTCTCTCGAAGCTTCCTTCCTATGGGCTCTCCAAGAAATCGTGCAATTGGATCACCAGTTTTTTTATCTGATCGGTGCATCAAGATCATAGTAGACGGTGCATGCTCCGATTGCAAGCCTGTTAATGCTGGTGTTCCACAAAACTGCGTGCTATCACCAACGCTGTTACTTCTGCATATTGTGACGGCCCAATATTATTGTTAATAATTAAATTCAATATAAAGGGGCATCAAAAATAGTCTTAAAATATATGTATTAAGCAATAAAATTACATTAATAAGCATAAAATTAATATAAATACATTTCAGACATTAGACCAATAACATAGTAAATTAAAGGCAAAATATTGTCTTTCATAATAAATAAAATAATTTAATAAACTTAATAAATAATAGAAATACAAGTCGAAAATATTATAAAAATAAAGATAAATAACATTTATAAGATAATTAGAAAATTTGTTAAAAATTGTCTAAGTCATGGAAGGAGTTCATGTATAAAAGAAAATTTTTCTAAGTTGTGGAAGGTGTTCATGTATAGATAGATGTCTTGAATGGAGGAGCTGTCAGAGATACATATCTGCAGTTGTACATGTACAGTGTGTAAGTGTAAACACCGTTGTCACTGAAACCATAGGTGGTTGGCTTTAATATAAAAATATTTATCCGATTTAAAAAAAAACGCTATTTTCTTTTATAAAATTAAAAAAGTTTCTGTCCGACACCGTCCGTAAATTCATGGATACCCTATGCGCTCGAGTGACGTAATCACTGTAAAGGTCACCGCCCGCCCTTGCTACCTACACTACATTTCAATATAAACACAATGGTACACATAACCTATAATGAAACTTTTCCTTCATACTTTCACACTTGCTTAGGACAGATAAAAATTCCTACCCTTTGTGTTGCGTGACGAGTCCAAATTAATGTAAGTTAGATTTAACAACAAAAAAAAATTAAACATTAATAATAGTAAATAGTAAATCATTAGGTAGGATTTTTGGCGTATTTACCGTATACCGTACCGCGGCCCTGGAACGCAAAGGGCATTTGAAGCATAAGCTGACCGTTCATTGTACGGAAAGATCATACAAAGCGAGGCCAAGACAAAGGATTTGTACAGCTTGATGTGTAGCCTGATTGATTGGTTATTTACACTTACCTATTAAATAAAATCCTCGTAAATGAATTCCATTTGGATCAGCTTTTACATTAATCGTAAAAGCTAGAAGCACAACAGTGTCATTTCTCTAAATACACTAAGAATTCGCCTTTTGAGTTCGGACGTATTACGGAACTTAGTTGCATACACTCGGCGCTTCACTTCTCCCCAAAGATAAAAGTCCAGCGGGGTAAGGTCGGTTCATCGCCCAGGAAACTCCTCAACCAGCATAGCCCTGATTTGCAGCTGAAAATGTGCAGGGGCACCGTCATGTTGGTAGTAGAGGTTTCTCAGTGAACGAAGAGGCACATTTCCACTACACGTTTATGTAGGACATAATTACAAATTAAATACACTCGCACCAAAACTACAACCTAAAGCGACGTAGAATGTCGGCACTGTGCGGCGCGATTTTAAATCAAATTAACACGTACATTCCGTACCGACGCAGCGAAGGTGACTGACACACTGACACAGTGACATTGGCCTTGACCGCGAATCGCTGCCGCTATCTACGATATGTTGAGTTTTTTGTTGTGAATTCTGTAGGTATATCCCTACTTGCCTGGGGTGAAATAATTGTAAGAAAAAATTGAGATTTGACAAAAAAAATGTTGTTATTTTTCATTGAAATTACTTTCTATAAGTGAAACCAAACCACTGGTTTCAAGGACAACGGTGTTTACACTAACATCCTGTATATGGGGTGGTCGGGTGCCCGACTGCTTGAAGTACTGTAGCACAATGACTAGTCCTATAATAGGGACTTATGACAGTAAACTCAATTTTAAAAAGCAAGACTATAGAAGGTCTCTATGATGAATTTGCATTACAATAGTGGGGTCGTGGGTTGGACTCCTATATATTAATGACTTATGAAAGTAAGGTCTATGATACAAAAGCAATACTATAGGTCTCTATGATGAATTTGCATTACAATAGTAGGGTCGTGGGTTCGAGTCCTATATATGAATGACTTATGAAAGTAAGGTCTATGATACAAAAGCATTACTATAGGCCTCTACGATGAATTTGCATTACAATAGTAGGGTGGTGGGTTCGAGTCCTATATTTGAATGACTTATGAAAGTAAGGTCTATGATACAAAATCATTACAAAAGCAACTACTTTCGTTGTAAGTAAGCTTAACGACAACAAAAAAGTCCTTACAATATTCTTGGCCTTAGCTAAGGCTTTTGATACGGTTCCCATCAATACTCTCTTATTAAAACTAGAAAATATAGGTATCAGGGGTTCTCAACTTGATTTTTTCCGTAGCTACCTTTCAGACCGGACTCAAAGAGTAAATATAGGCAACTATACAAGTAATGAATTTTCTATATCTTACGGTGTGCCCCAAGGTATATAGGTCTCTGTAATATTAAAGTCAATAATTGTAAGATAGTTTCATATGCTGATGACACCGCCCTTACCTTCTTTGCAGGTACTTGGACTGAACTCCAAGAAATTGCGCAAAGTGGTTTTAACATTACATATGATTGGCTTCGTACACACACCCTTACTTTAAACACAGCAAAAACCAAATTCGTTACTTTTTCTATCTCTACAATATCACAACCTAAAATTCCAGTAAAATTAATAGCCAACTCATGTCATTACCAATATCAACAATCTTACCACTGTCCCCTTGTTAATTCGGTCAACACAATCAAATATCACAACACACGCGCACGCGCATGTGCACGCGCACCCGCACACGCACACACACACACACACACACACACACACACACACACACACACACACACACATTTCCACTTGAAAAGGAATATTATGGTGGCGTGTATGCTGCTTCACGAGCAATTGGTCCGAGGTAAACTTGGGCTCCCTAACCGATGTGTCCTAGACATCCATCTTAGTGCCGGTGGTAAGCGGGTTTGTTGTAGCAATACGGCTTTCCCGTGGACATCGCACACCCATACCGTTTGTGAGCGGCGTCGTAGCGCATAGCGATGCGTCGTCTATCTTTCGGATTGGGATGAGTGTGTTTGGTAGCACTTTTAAGTGTAATAGGCATACTCAACTTCATGTCTTAATGCATTAGCGCTATGATACATGGAGTTTTGTTCACTGGCGTCTTAGTAGCGTGCTACTATAATAGGTTGGTGATATTTTTTAGTTAACAGCAATGCAAACTTTGTTACCAAAGTCGATATGGATTATGTGGGTGTGTAGTGAGGGGGCGCTATCCGTATGATAGTTGCATTGATGCTTACTGCTTCTTGCGGTATTGCGTCTTGTGATGGATCTGCGGGTGTACTGCGCCTGATTCGACGCACTCTTGTGGTTCTGGTCGATGGAGGTATGCGGGTGGTGATGTCTGCTGGGATGTATGGGGGACCTTGGGATGGTGTAAGCCCGACGATAGTCGTATTGATGCTTGTTGCGTTCTGCAGCATTGCGTCTCTGCGATGGTAGTTTGGTGGGACGCTATTCTCAATGGCGCTCCCTGCGTCTTGGTTTGACTCACACCTAAGTAGCTTTGCCCAAGTCAGGTCCCTTCATTACGGGGCTGCAGACTGTCTGGCCTCCATGATGTTTTATATAACAACATAATAATATATCTCTGTAACTTTCCCACCTTTAAATGATTGAAGGCAACTTGTTGGTGGGTGAGACAAACATAATCGAAAATGCATTTACTCAACGTCAGTGAAACAAAACCTTTCTGATGGCAAATTATTACTAACATCTTATAACTGCCTTTTGGCTATATCTGCCGTTGTATTGGTTGGTGGAGCACATGTGTCGATCTCATGCGGGTGGTAGCTGGCGGGAGGATCTGAGGAGACCCTCAAGGCTGCGGCCGAAAACCGCACAACGTTTGAGGCGTTAGACTCATGACACGCTCATGACACGATCATGCATTTGGTGGTGATGCCATACACTTACATCACGTCTGCAGGAGCGGCGGTCTGGCAGGTGGTGGCGGTCTGGCAGGTGGTGGCGGTCTGGCAGGTGGTGGCGCTCAAGGAGGGTTTACGGCCAGTGTGCCTATTTGCCTAAACCATGTGACGTACATTCACTGTGGCTGGATTCGTTCGTATTCTGTACGGCGTTTACACGCATTGATAAGCGCGACTTCGGTCGATGTTTGTGCTTACGCACTAACAAGGGGCCAATCCTCTTTTACTGGTTCGCCAGTTATTTTGCTGTGGACTACGGTCCAGTTCCCGAATTAGCGTTCCCTTCGGGGGGAGTGTGTCAAAATAGTTGGAGCTCACCACGCACGGCGTGTGCCTTCCCTACATTTTTTTAAATAAATGTAGGAGAGCGAAGCCCTTGTATCGGGTATTTTGTATAAATATATTGTGAACCTTTTCCAAGCGGGAAGGGATAAATAATAATAAATTAATAATGTAAACCTGATACAAGTGGAATAGGGACGTTAGGGGTGTTTTTAACCTTTCCCGAGCCCTGTCTTCGTGAACGGGGTTCACTTAGCTTATAAGGCTACCAACAGCTTTCAATTGCTCTAGTGAATATTCATTCTTTCAAAAGACACCTAAAAGAACTAAGTTACTAAACAAACACAACGTAAATAAGGGTCCTAACTAAGACGATCACGCCAAAAATATTACAAACGGCCATTATTAAACCTTTTGAAAGATTATTTAGAAAGATCAAAACATATCTTATTTATCTTGGTCACATATATATAACTTTATTTAAAAGGGGGAAATATTTAATATATTTATATAAGCGAAGAGGGGGGGAGCGTTACAATATCAATGATATGTTACAAACTGGTAACATTCATTGCTATGCGAACGACAGCACTGGTGATGCTCTGTACACCGGCCATGCCAATATTTCTTCGGAAAACGTCGCCGAGTACCGGGACAAACTTTTGTCTGAAGTCGAGTCTTTGCTGAACAAAGTCTAGGATTGGGGGCGACTAAATTTAATCCAGTTTAATCCTCAGAAGCAAACTTGTGTTTGCGCGTTTACTGCTAAAAAGGACCTGTTCTCGTATCTCCTCAGTTTCAAGGCACTCCCCCATGTTTCGTGGTCGCTTGGAAGAGAAGGCCAAATTGACCTCTAAAAAGCTTGGCGTGCTCAGCAGAGCGGGACAGTATCTACTTCATGCCGGCACACCGCCTGCAACTTTACAAGGCGCAGGTTCGGCCACACATGGAATACTGTTCCCATCTCTGGGTTGGAGCTCCCCAGTGCCTGCTTCTATTTGACCGAGTCCTCTCCGATCGGCACTATACACTACACGAAGAGATTTTGCACCTCTTTGCATTTTCTATCACATCTACCACAAAGAGTGCTCTGAGGGATTGTTCAGATTAATCGCCAAATTTCATGAACCCACATCGTGGCAAAACTCCCGATACCATCCACACCATCTGGATGCTTGGCGGTCAACCATTGTACGTTTCACTAGGAGTTTTCTTCCGCGTACGATCCCTCTGAGGAATCGTTTACCACCGGCGATTTTTCCGGATCGATACGACTTAGGGATATTCATGAAAAGAGCTTACTCTTTTCTAAAAGGCTGGCAACGCACCTGCAATTCCCCTGGTGTTGCAATTGTTCATGGGCGGCGGTAGTCACTTTCCATCAGATGAGCCGCATGCTCGTTTGACTTCTCTTCTATAAAAAAGGTAATGACAATATACTGGACTGCATTCCGTTTTAAACAGTAACCAGTAGAGTGAACTAAAAAGGAACGCTTAACAGTATACTGATTTCACGTCACACCTTACAGTGGTCACAGTGTATATCGGAACACGGCCTAAATCTCTTACATCGCCACTATACCGGAAGGTAGAAGTTTACTTATTATAAAAACTTACCAGACATGTATATAATGCTCAATAAGCGCGTTGTACACTAGGCTTGAACACTTCGCATCCGTAGCAGATATCATATGCTCAAGGAACTCGATCAGACGTTCGGAATTGCATAGGAACATATGGATATAGTCATCTGGAAGAGCCCTAGCAATAAAATTGGCTTTATTAATTGTGATAGTAAATGATTTCTTGAAAATAAATTCAAGGTACTATTCAATTTCCCGAATTTAGACATTTCACACAAATAGTTTCGTATGGCATGGCATACATGTTCTAATTTTCTGTTCGGAGAGTACTAAAAATTCTTGGTGATTGTAGAAACTAGCTTGTGTTCATAATGAAGAACAGAAAAATGATGTGCGTTACGATGGTAAGACGCTCTTGCAGCCTATAGACACCTGTAACTCAAACAAAGAAGGCTACAGATGTGTTGTCACCTCTGAGGATTAAGATGGAACAATCCACAGCTTATAATTATACTGGCTTTCTATACCCTTAGACCGAGACATAGAAGTGCAGAGCACTGACATCCATCCTGCCGTACGTTCACGAAGGATACTCTAAACTTACAGGCAGTAAAAATTCAAAATGGAATAAAGAAATTTTTCTAGGTTCCACGGAGTTGTGTGTATTCTGTATTCGAAAATAGAATACGTAAATCATACGTGTGTGGTCAGCTTAAGTTTTGATAAAAAAATAGGTGAAGATCCACTTGTTTTACCGACTTCAAAAAAGGAGGAGGTACTCACTTCGACTGTATATTTTTTGTGTGTTACCTCAGAATTTTTTCTAGATGAACGGATTTTGATGATTCTTTTTTTATTTGAAAGGTGGTACTTATCATGTGTTAACCTTATTGATTGACTGACCCGTAGTTTTTGAGTTATCCTTAATGATGCGTATTTAATTGACTTTGACTACATTAATGATGTTCTCATTTTAGTTATATTGAAGTCGGTTGTACAAATTTATTAATTTTACCACTTTGTGTTGTGTGTTACTTGTTGTGTTACAGTTAAATATGTTAAACAGTTCAAATGTAACTCGAAACTAACTCGAATAGGGCACATCATTTGAGCAAATTTCGACCTTAATTGTTTATTATTGTGTTTACAGATTTGTAAACAAAAACATGATATAATATGATATATTAAAAATTTTACTTACCTGACAAGTTCTCTATATCCACCCGATAAGGAACTTTCATCAACCAAAGGTTTACTTCGCGGTTTATAGTCGGTGCAAAGTACTAAAAAAAAAACAATCTAGATTATTCAATACATTGATCTGTTTACATTAAATTTATAAGAACTTATATAACATTTAAGACTATTCTTGCCTAGACCTGTTAAAATTATATAAAACAATCCTTCCTTAATGGTTGTACCTGAACCAAAGATCAGTTATAAAATTTAAAATTTTTGTGATCAAAATTAGTGAAGGAACAGCTTTTATACGACGGCTCACTGCTGGGCACGTGTCTCTTCTCACTTTTACAAGGTTTATAGAGCAATCAGTTTACATGTCCTTTATATTGATCTGTGGGGTCCATAACACCCTCACAGGTCAGACCACAGGGTCCACAACATTCTAAGGAACTATATCGGCGACTGGTCATCGGCACTGGCGAGAAGGCTATTTTTAGACCTGCTTTCACATGTTTCTTAACCATTATCAATGAAATGTATTTATTAATATGGTTCAACGACATTAGAAGCAAAATAAAACTTTATATGTTTTAGTCAGAAAACTATGCATAAAAATCATTTTGATTTTTTAATTATAGGATTTGAAAATATTTTTTTTCCAAATCAACCATAAAGAACACGAATTAAAAATTTACATTTTAATAGCTTGGTGCTCTCCTCGGGCTCATGCTGTATCAATTTGTGGCCATATTTCTTCATATACATATCGGCGTCTTCAAACTCTAGTTCTGCAATATAATCTAAGGCTTTTATGTATTCCTTTTTATCTTCTAGAACGATCTTGAGGTACCAATCGTGACGTTTATGGTTCGCCGCCAGAGATAGAGCATCGTCTGCATTCACTTGTCGTACTACCTGCCAATAAAATACTTTTATTTTGATTGCATCGACGTTCTATAGCAGCTAATTCTTTAATAACGAGCACAAAATTTAAAGTTACAGCCTATACAAGTCAAACTGCTGGGCACAGATCTACTTTCAATTCTGAGAGGTTTTTTGGGCAAGAAAATGTCCACCACACTGCCCAAAACGTGTTGGCAAATTTCATATGTCTTTGAAATATATTTAATTTAATAAAATTATTTCTCAGATATGCAGGTTTCATACCGACTATTTGTCCTTTGAAAAATCTTTAAATTCACCATAAAAATATAAGGAGTGGAGCGCTCCCGAGCGGCCGTTAGTCGCTCGGGAGGTTATCCGCTAGGGTTGCCCTGTCACGCAAATAAATTAAAATGGTTCACACTACATGTGCTTTAAAAAACTGTGGATCATCTTTGAAAGATAAGGAATTAAAGTTTTTATATTTTTTTTATTTAGGACAACTAACAAGACACAGACTGCAAAATTTTTCGCTTGAATTTTTGAGGCCTATCAGCAAAGATATCGATATCACATGTCTTGCAGAGCTGGTTATATTGCCTCTGTAATCTATTTATCGTGGCGTGGTGACCCAAATTAGTTTACTGCCTTCAACTGAAAAGGGGACGTATCGGCTGACACGCACTCGCTTGAATGGTACATTGAAATTTATTGAACTTAGTAGATATGGACAGTTTACGGTTCCGTTGACGATTTTGTGTAGCAACATGGAATCCAGCAAAAGCCTCCGCTGTCGCAGGATACTTAATTTAAAATACGTCAGTCGGTCTTCGTATGAGGGTAGATTCTTCATTTTGTAGGTTTGGTACGAAAGATGCCACAAAAAACGCATCTGGATACGCTCTTTGCGTTTCACGTAAATGTCATGAATGGAGACCAGACCTGGCTATAGTATTCGAGGCCGGAACGGACTAAAAACTTGTACAAGGAATTGCATATAAAGAATTTTTTTTAACATGAAATCAAATAAAATCAGTTTTTTATTACTTCCCGTTCTGACATCCCTAGCATATTATTGTTTATGTCGGCTTTTACGACAACATAAAACACGTATGTTCTTCTAAGGCTGTGGTTGAGTGATTTCGGAGTTCATTGCGGACAAACAATGTGACACGTAATTTTTACATATATAGGAAAGTTCCTACTTATAATTTACCTTTATTACCCTGCTCGTAGGGCATAGTAATTACGTAAAAAGCGCCAAGTGGTGGCGAAAAAGAGAATCTATCACCCAGGGGTGGGATTGAAAACCAGTTTCACTTTTCGGTGTCAAGAAACCAGTTCTAAAATACTTGTACCTAGCTTTCATGTTCGAAGGCAAAAGGGAAAGCCTTTGTAGCGTTTGTAGTCAACATTTTTTATATTATTAGATACTTCGATCGTAATGTAGGACAAAAATTGTGTTGTATAATGCATTTCTTACTGCAAATAACATATTGTGACCATCACTCCGTAAAATTAAAAAGTTAGAACATGTTCGTAGGGTACCGGTAAAATAAAATTGCTCATTTTTTTTTATTAAGCGCTAGCAGCTATTCAGGTCTAGGGAAAGAGACCAGTATCACTGCGACCTAGAATATTTATTGTGATCGCTGCTATGGCTATAGTTCACGGCTTATCAGTTCTTATTCATCATTCATCATTACAACCCTTCACAAGTCCACTGCTGAACATAGGCCTCCCCCAAGAAATGCCACAAAGCACGATATAACGTCACTCGGTCTTACACCTCTCTGCATTTGGATAGGTTTCGTACTCTGGTTCTGTATTCGGATAGCCATCGTAGCCCTACTGTAGAAACATGTCACACGTCATTCGATATATCGACAGTCAACTTGGCACCGCTGAAGGGACTGCAGCACCGCCCAAATTTCGACAGAGTCCAAGGTTTTCCCACAGTCCACATACACATGACATAGTAGCAGATTGTACCGGCTGCCAAGAGTATGTATGTGGTCTATGGTGCTAAAGCCTTTTCGGAAACCGGCTTGTTTGGGAGGATTCACAATGACTCTCGAAAACAGCACGTAGACGCGGCTCAGAAGGGAAATCAGTCTGTAATTCTTCAAGAGAGCATTGTCGCCTTTCTTAAAGAACAAGACCACCAACCACACTTAAGTGGCACTACTCCGGAGGCTTGTTAATGCTATGGAAGACGGAATTAAAACGCTTCTGAAGGACTTCAATTAACAGTTTACCACCCGCTTTAAGAAACTCCGCTGTAATTACATCCTCGCCTGCGGACTTGCCAGTGTGCCTCTCATCATTCGGTGATCCCTGCCAGTTTTTACCCTCGCGATCACTGAGACATCGCTGAACAGTTGGCGTGTGGTCATCATAATGAAGTCAATTTTTTTTTGATTGGCTCGACCAGATCCACTTTCTGTGGGGCTGCTTCTTGAAGAAAGAGTTCATCATAAAGAGGCCTTTTTTCTCCATGAAGTCGGCCAGCTGCTGGCCCCTTGGGTTTCGTTGCCCAATTCCAAATTTCCCTACTTTCAGCTTACCGTTTTCTCACGTCTGCCTAGTTTTGCGTTGAAGTCTCCCATTAACACCGTATAGTGGGTTTTGAAGGAATGCATGGCTTAAGATATATCCTCATACCCTTTCCCCACCTTCTCATCGGGATGTGCCGAGGTCGGCGCGTCAACCTGTATGACCTACAGCAAATACCAATTGGTGATTCTGAGTATAAGGTACGCAACCCTCGTCGACACACTCCCAATCTTTACGTTATTAACGAGACTTGTGAACGATATAACAGAAACCTCCTAGAGACAGAAAAATTTCGAGTTATATGTCTTCCCCCTCTCTTTGGACATGGATAATCCATAATATTTCAGGAACTTGTATCTCTTTTTCCAGCTCCAGGATCTTTTCCAACCTCAGTCATGCGATTTATGTGTCGAATACTGTCTCTTCTACTATTTCCACTTGTCGACCTTTTAATTCTCACGCCCATACCCACGGGAAGATATGGGGTAGTAGGTATTCTTGCCCGCCACTACAAGGATGGTTCTTATGAAGGTTTCGATTTAAGTCCTTGTTCTTGCATTTCTAGGTAACTACTAACAAATTTGACTTATAAAGTTTTCAATCTCTGTCGAGAATAACTTATGGGAAAGACCAGAAAGACCTCATGGCCTTCGATAGACGACAGTATGTGATCCCGTATTTTACATAAAAAAATAATCACTTTGCAATTTACTTGCCCGGCGTGCCGAATATGCTAAATATTCTCTTACTCCGGGATTTTTTGCCCATCAGCAACTGATAACGAGGTTGTGTGAATAATATTATTATTTACTAGTTTCCAAGTGAAGTGAACTATTCAAAGTGGATCTTGGAATATTCTAAAACACACTTGGCAATTGACACTGGCAAAATCCAAATTAAAACAATACTACAAATAAAGAAAGAAAGTAGATTGCGATTTTATAAAAACAAAGCTTACCTTAATGGCTACGTCGACATCAAAATCGATTGCCTTATCCTTTGAATTTATAAATTCTTTTAGCTTTCCCTGTTGATCATGTTGATCGATTTTCACATAGCATGTAAGCAATAACGTTGTATGGTCTTCGGTAGCAAATCCTTTTTTATGAAGCACCTCTAAATATTGGACTAAGGACTCCAGATGTCTGGATTCAAGGTACTTTCGTATCACATATGATGTTTCTAACCAACCAATAGTTTTAACGTATTGGTCTATTGCACTTTTAAGGTCACCCTGTAACATTATAAATAGTTTAAATTAAAACTAAATTTAGTTCAGGACTTTTGAGGAGGTTATATTATGCGCTGTATACAGTATAAAAATTAGGTAGTCGTCATCAACAAATTTCTGCATCATATAATTTGAATTTGCTACTTTTAGTAGTGTCACAACTTTTTCCGTTATAAATTATACAGGTGATGCTACGTTAAAAACAATAAATGATACCAGCAACTTTATATAGCATTTCATTATTGTTGTTCACTAAAATCAATCAAATTGATTCAGTAGTATAACAACAGGAAATTTATTTCGTTTTAACAATTTTCGCACATGATGTGTACACGGTTATTTTTCAAAGAATAGCACAATTTTTAAATTAATTTCAAATAAATAAATAATGATATACCGTTATTGCAGTTTGCAAAAATACGAGTAAATAAGGCTTCTACTTTTATTTAAATTATCCCAAATTGAATGTGATTTATAGGCAGCAACGTTTTTGCCTACCGATCGGACCCTTGCGACTGTGTGTGGATGCGCAGTAAAATCAGTTAAAATAATGCATTACCACGTATTTTGAATTAAAAAGGTAAAAAAGGGAAAGAATGTTTGAGATTTTATTAATTAATTTTTCTTGAGCATTTGCCTATATAATTTATTATGAATTTTCTCTGCAAATTTGGCCGGTTATTGCAGAATAATCCTTTCTCGGGGCGAAGGTTGACAGGGAACAATAAACTGTGTCTTGCAAAATAAAGAAAGCTATGTTGCATTTCGACCTTTTATTTCAACTTCCGTACTGAATTCTCCTTTATTTCTGAAAGGAATGAGCGAACAGAACAACCGCGAAGTTGCTGCTGTTAAAGGTTTAAACTTTAAAGCGTGTTTAAATTTTCATTAGATATTATAATTCGTCATTTTGTTACTGAAAATGTACCTTTTTTAATCTTGAGATACAAAAAAACTAACTATGACGAAACACTTTTTCGAACAAGCAATAACCGAGTTCACATTTACTGTATATAATGTAATGTTACACTTTATTATTTGAAATATTAGTAAATAAATAAATTATTTGAAATACCTTTTTCTGTATTTTACGCTTACAAAACTATTCAAAGAAATTTTAATAGTATTCAATTTAATGTTATTATATGTATCACATTTAATTTAAAAAAAAGGTTATGTAACTGAAAATATTTCCTATTAATCATTAATTTTTTACTCTCTTTAAATAAAAGATTTTTTTCAAATGTGCTTATTTAAACTATTGTATCAAATTATAATTAAAAAAAAATTTACATTTCTCCTACATATTTACATTGGTCCATCTCGTTCCTTTAAGTTCGAATGTAAATATGTAGGACACACATCGACGTTACGCCATAATGAAAAGGTTGGTTAGTGAAATTACAAATAAATATGTAACTTCTGCACACAGCATTACCAAAATTTGTGCACACAGCTTTACCAAAATTACATACCTTCAACTTGATCTCCTTATAAACAATAAAGGCAAAAGGCATGAGCTATTAATTTACGCTGGTATTTTGTGAGAGCGTGGCCCTTACCTCTTCGAGCAGACCCATTCGTTCTACAACAATTATATAGCTGTAATAATCGATTATTAGGCCCGACCCGGGATTCGAACCCAGGACCTCATGATCAGCAGTTGCACTACTACAACCACTAGACCATAGATAGTCGAGTTTTTCTGTCAAGAAATTCTCAGTAGTTGTCCAGAGTCAGGAAGTTGGCGGTGTCTCACCTCCGTGCCTCGGAAAGCACGTAAAGCCGTTGGTCCTGCGTCTGATCTCTCTACGGTCGTGTCGGTTTATGAGAGTCCCATCGGATTATCAGAGTGAGGGAATAGAGAGTGCACCTGTGCTTGCACATACACTTGGGCACTATAATCCTGTCCTGCGCCGATGGCTAGTCTCCGTTGTGGCTGGCCGCCGTGACCGAAAATTAGATCTGGAGGACATTTATAGCATAACTACCACGGACAATAACATACAATTACAAAATCTATAATACTAAGAGTAACTACTGTCACTTAGATTGCACGTAAATAAACTGTGTGATTTGTTGTTACTTAACTAATTACTATGTTAGGTTAGTTTAGTTCGGCGTCGTAAGAGACAGATCTTGGTAACTACAAAAACTTGCCTTGCTATATAAGTGATCACCGTATTGCTTATAAATCTCAGTCAATCCCTCAACATCGTAGTGCTGACTGCTTGCTATCCTTATCGCGACGTCGTAAAGGTTCTTTTTGAATAGCAACGACAGCTTCGACTGGAGATCTTTTTCTTCTAGATATATCATCTCTTTATTCTTAGTGAGAACATAGAATGATCCCCACTCGGTTAAAACCGCATCAATTTCTTCGAATGTTTTCGCAAATACAATGGACTTGTTTTGAATGTCTAATATAGTTAGATTGTGTGATTTAGGAACAGGTGCGTTGCTGGTGGATGCTGTTGACTTTGTTGGTGACTCGTTGGTGACAATAACCAGGTAGTTACGGAACCAGTTTATGCGAACTTTCTCACCAGCTAGGGCGTAACAAGGGCCTCTACCTTCTGTGGTGTAGCAATATATCGCCTGTAATCAAATATTATTTATATTTATTTGGTTTTGTTGCAATGTGTAAATGTACTAGTATTAATTAAGGTGGCCCTAGTCGATGGCTCGAACTAAATGGTGGGCGGGGTTAAAATGCATGCTATCTCAGCCGACATCACGTGCGAAAGCGAAAGGCACGATGATTTACAACAAAACGAGCGCGCCAAATTTTATAAAGAGACCTTTGGGAATCTGGATATCATGAAAAATCCATTGAATGTATCTGTTCAAAATAAAATTATTTGCAGTTTTGAACACCTAATCTATCCCTGTGTGGTAAATTTTTTACAATTTTCGTTCTTCATATGGTATTTATTTCCGTCCAAAGATGTGTTAAAATTAGTACTTTTTTACTTTTTTGTTTCCATACACGGCTAGATAATGATGAAACAAATTGAAATCATTTTTTATTTTGAACCTACACCATCAAAAAGTGGAGTAATGGCCAGACTACGTTTGTATGGAATAATGAGTGAATAGTGTACTTTTAAAGGTTAGTCTTCGATTTTATTACCTCGATCTGTATGAAATTTTAAAATTCAGTTTTCAGCCACTTTCGGCCGTCTGAACAATTGGAAATTATTAGATTAGCAGATTTGGGGCCGATCCTCATTATAATGCCGTTCACAGTTCAGTCTCGGTCCGATCTCGGTCTGATAAAATATTATCAAGTAAAAAATATGTGTGTGCATTCATACTATCCGTAACAGTCAAGTTTCGGTCGAATCCCATTCCATTATAATAAATCAGACCGAGATCGGATCGAATGAACTGTGAACGGCAAATGAGGATAGGCCACCACGGATCACTGGTTCTTATTAAGACCAATGATCCGTGGTAGCTCAAGATGGTTCAAACCGGGTTCGATCCCCGCCGACACCAATTAAATTGTTAATTGCAATTTTAAGTGCTGATTTACAATGTGCTCGGCGGTGAAGAAAAAAAATCGTGAGGAAACCTGTATGCCTTAAAATAAAAAAAATATTTCGAAGACATGTGAGGTTCGCCAAAACGCATTGGGGTAGCGCGGTGGGCACTTTCTCCCCTAAAACGCTCTCAGAAATGAGAGGAGGCCTGTGGCCAGCAGTGGAAAGTATATAGGCTGTAACTTTAACTTTAATGACAATACACCTCTTTTACTAGCGGCAGTATAAGAATGTTCGCTACCCCATGCCATTACGTGGGTGTCGCAAGAGGTGACAAAGGGAAAGTGAAACAAAAGATGGGCAGTATCCCCTCTATAACGGCAATAAAACTTCGGTTGCCAACGCGCCTGCCAAGCGTGGTAATTATGGCAAAATCTCACCTATAAAGCACTTTATGGTAGTTTTTTTTAACTTAAGTATTATTGACCAGTGATTTCCTCAAGTAGAGATCACACACACACACGCACACGCACACACGCACGCACGCACGCACACACACACACACACACACACACACACACTCAACATTTATTTTGATTTTTGTTTTTTTTTTTAACTTTTTTTTTAAGAATATTAACAATGCTATAAACATTATATTCCCCTTAACCACTCGTTGCAAAAAAAAAAACAAATGATAAATTTTCAAGTTTAATTGTATTGTGAATAACCCTATGTTTCTGACACTATTCTCTTTCTATAAAAAAAGTAGGCAAATGAGCATACAGCTCACCACCTGATGGTAAGTGATCACCGTCGCCCATAAACATCAACAACGCCAGGGGAATTACAGGTGCGTCAATTATGGAATACTTACTTATTCAATCTTACTGTGTGAGCATTACATTTAGCACAGATTACGGCGAGCAAGTGTAGCTGTATTGACTACAATTTAGAGGTCATGAGACCTTTCTGACTTCTTCAATTTGCTATAAATGCAAATAAAATTTAGCACCAGACAAACATTTTGATATGTCATATAATGCCAAATTTCTTAAAACAACTAATTATGTATGTCAAACTAAACAAAATCCATATTCATATCAGTTTGGAAATTTTTTAACTATTGAACATATAAAAGCAAACCTAACATTAAAAAAAAAATAGTATTGAAATGGACTGCAGATATATGTTAAGGTGCTCACGTCTGTGGCGGCGACAGTGAAGCAGTGCCTGTCAGCCAGCACGCTGCAGGCGGGCGCGGCGCCCATCGCGTCCAGCGTCACGCAGCGCTCCGCCGCCAGCCAGTACACCATCACACACGACCGGCTCACCACGAACAACTTGTCCGCGCCCCTGAAAATCAACAACTCAGTTTTTTTTATAGAATAAGGTTGACAAAAATACACAGGCTTAGATATGAACATCTATACTCATTTAAGAATCAAAATGTAGATGCATTGTCACCCCCTCATTTCAACTAAAATGGGTCTCCAGTTCTTTACACATACCATACGAAACTCAGCAGGAGTATGCTACTATTGCTATTTTGCATTTGTGATAGCGTGGTCCTTCCCCGGTCTAACTGACCCATTCATGCTACAACTACAATATAGCTATGACTTACGTTAAACATGTAAAATACGAAAGCAACCTAAGGAATATCAAAGATCAGCTAAAGTAGATAAAGAGATAGTTGCTGCAATGCCGCAAACATTTATATAATTTTGTAAATTATTTGGACCCTACCCGTAAAGCACCAGGTAATCCTAATTTTACTAGTTCTACCATTATCAGTAACATACACGCAGAACATAATTATACAGGGTTATTTTTCATAAAATTCTATATCATACATAGGATTAGTAAACTGAAGTAGCAATTGGCCAGCCATATAGCTCGAAGAACCGACAACCGATGGAATCTCGAGTGGCAGCCTCGTACCGGTAGTCGTAGTTTAGGGCGACCCCCCACTAGATGGAATGACGACCTGGTAAGACATGCAGGAAGTCGATGGATGCAGGTGACTCAAGACCATGCTTTGTGGCATTTCTTTGGGGGAGGCCTATGTTCAGCAGTGGACTTGTGAAGGGCTGTAATGATGATGATTTTTCATAGAGTAACCAAATTTTAAACTTAAGTTCAAATATATATGAATAATGTTATACAGTTACTGCAGTTTTTGAAAATATGAGTAAAAAGGCTTCTTAATTCTTCTGGCATTTATTTGAAATTATCCTAAATTTAATGTGATTTATGGGCAAAACATTATTGCCTACCGATCGACCCTTATAATGTGTGCATACACAGTAAATTCAATGCATTACCACGCATTTTCAATTCTAGTATTCATTTGAGTTTTTTTTGTCACTATTTACCTATATTACTTATTCTGTATAGCTATACACAAGCATAGAAACAATCAGTGTTTCTGTGTTCAGTTTAGTTAAGTGATTAAACTTAGTAATACTAAGTTTAATCACTAAGCTTTTTTTAAAAGTAGGATAAGGGTGACAAGCGAGCACACAGTCCATCTGATGGTAAGTGGTTGCTGTGGCCCATACGCTTCTACATCTATTCTCGATTACGAATCACAATGCAGATGCGTTGTCACACGTGAGGACTAAGATGGAATGCCTCGTTTCCAGTAAAAAAGGGTCTCCGAATATCTACACTCATCATACCAAACACAGCAGTATTAAGCTGCTATTTTACATTGATATTTTGTGAGAGTGTGGTCCTTCCCCAGGCGAGCCGACCCATTCTTGCTACAAATATACCATTAATATAGTAACGTGGCTCTACCACGTTATATAAGTACCCTCAAATGTATTTCACCACTTTTGCATTTTAAGATTAAATGAAACACATTTATGATTTAAACAGATATGTACGTTTAATAAAGTTGAAGTGACAAGTGAATTGACAATCTCCCTCTAAGGACTAAAATGAAATACCTTTAATCCTGTATTTATACTGGCTTAGTACAGCCATGCATGCAATGGTGCTGTTCAATAGAAATAAGCAAGAGGGTGAACCAACCTACCCAGATGGACTCCTGGGCAAGAAAGGAGTCATTCCACCTAGTAACATAAATACCGAGTAAAAAATATTTTATAAGCATACTTAAAAGCAAGTCCAGTAATGGGGCTAGTTCCAGAGTCTGGTAAAGTTTTCATCTTGACGCTTCGCTGTCTAGCAATATCACCACGGAATAATGACACAGAGCCATCTTGAAATCCAACTGCTAGAAGATTCTATAGAAAAAAAAATATTTTATTACATAAATTTCATTTTTATTCACAACAAAATGTATAAAAGCTTACCTTATTATGAACTGCAAGAGCTGTTGCTGGAGTTTGACGCATATGAGATGGTACTGCACGGGAAAGATACGAGCAGCTTGGATGTCTATCATTACGTGACCAGTCCCATACTTTAATTAATGGATTCATACCCGGCTCATCTTCCTGAATTCAAAACAAACGGCATGGGAGGAAAATTTAAATAAAAAGTATATTTTACATGAAAATATTCATTATGTTGATTAATTTATTGATAATTTAGAAGCAATTAAAGCATTTATGTATTATGATTTTTTCCCAGACTTCACAATGGCCAGTGTAAATAGAGCTTAATACTGCTGTGTTGAATGAGTGACAGAACCGGAGACTCTTACTAGAACGAGGCATTCCATCTTGGTCCTCATACACCATTTGCCACAGCAACAACTTACCATCAGGATTGTCATATAAAAAAATTTCAGATTTTAAGCAGTTGCTAAGTGATGGCAGACTTAGTGCCAAATTAACTTTATTCTGAAACACAATTCGAATGACCCAACATTCATAGAAGTTTTACTGTAGAGCACCTGCAGCTATTGATAGTTGTAGCATAAATGGGGCGTCCCGGGGGACAAAGAAAAATTATTAGGCTTTATTTGCATATCTAGTTTAGGATAAATGTGGATGCATGGGCCACAGCATCCACTTAACATCAGGTAGACTGTGAAAAAATACAGCTTCACCAAATAAATTTAAATATAAAACAATCATTTAATTTGTTTGAGAAATCAAATTTCGAAAATTAATTTTATAAGCACATATCTCAAAGTTTCTAAAATAGATTAATATTGTTATAGTTAGCAAGGCACAGAAGAGTATAAAATATAAAATAAAGTTCATTTTCAAAATTTGAATGTATGGAATACTATGGTAGATATTAAAATGTTTTAACCCCTTGTTGGCCAGCCGGCCATTTGCAAATAATACGCATCTGCTAAGGCATTAGCAGATAATTTCCGCGATATCGGCGCGTGGCGATTAAATTAGTAATTTCTCTAAAATATTGTATGGGAGCTATTTGTAAAACTTATGTCATTTGAATTATTATATTATTTGCTATTAATCTGTAATTATCTTAGTTGAATAAACCTAATAGATTCTATTAAGCCGATTTCAAAGTTAGAGAACCGAATTTTTAATAGTATTTTGTACATAATTTGTGAAAATTAAACAGAAAAATCATTCATTTATAAAATAAATTTAATTTATTTTCATCAATCTACACTAATTTATAATAAAAAAACAAAAAACCACACATTACTATATATTTTTAAACCAAAAGTTTTTTACAATCTTAACACATGAACGGCAACCCAAGCGTCCCACAGAAAATAGCATATATTGTTACTTTTATTTTGAGAAAGGAGTGAGTCAAGTGGCGTACGATAACTTTAATGTTAAGTATGGTTCAAGTTCTTAATTTAGACAGTTTCATTTCTAAAAAGTATGTAATGTATTTTTAATCAACAATAGAGATAAATGTAAGGTAAGTAAGTATAATGGCCGTTTATGTTCGAATTTTTTTTTATTTAATAAAAAAGATACATATCCTTAAATTATGAATTAAAAACTGTTGGTTATTAACCCTTCCATGTTAAAATAGCACCAAACTTCACTGTTTGTTTTTTTATGAATAAATAAAGGACAAAAACCGGGACAGGCGAACACATAAAAGCGACATTGACGTACGACTGCCACACTGGCTGTTTATTCAAAATTTCTAAACATTGTAGTACTTTAGTAGCTTTGTATCGCATCCTCTTTCTTTAGTGTATAATTTTATATAAGTAAAAGTGTGATAGCAATCATTGTCGCTGGTTATTTTACCCGCCAAATACACTGGAGCGGTTCGGCCAGAAACTGAGTGCTTGCCAGATGCGCGTAATAAACCATCGACCATATTCTGGCCGGTCGCCAGACAAGAGGTTAATTGATAAAACTATTTTATTTTATATGACTGAATTTTACAAATTGCTATAATTAGTTTGCACATCATAGAGACACAATACTTCATTAAAGTGGCTGCAATGAGCTACCTATACAAAGCTGAATAAAAATTAAATTTTCTTTTACATATTTACTGATAAAGTTATGGAATATTTTTAATTTAATTTTCAAATTTAATCTTGTAGAAATTCACTCGCAGTAATAGAGTTTAGTTCAAATGGGTTTAAAACTCCAAAAGAATGATTTGAACTTACAGCAATTACTTTTGATGAGTCTGCAAATTCACAAGCAACAATCTTCAATTCTATTATTTTTTCGATTTTTCTCCCTGGTCATTATAATTTTAAATTAGTACATTTTAAACAATATTTTATTGCAACTTACCCCAATAGTTACTAAGAATGGATCATGTGGCAGCTGTTGTGCAAGTGTAATGGTCAACTCATATGCCTTGAAGGACAGGATTTCCCAGGACCGGGATATGACATGTGCCAGGCCTGTCACATCACACACAACTATATGATTGTGGCCACTTGTTGTTGCAGAGACTGTAGTATCCTGAAAAAGACAATTAAGTATGATTTTTTTTATAAGTTTAATAAAATTTTATGTTATGTATGTAGCTGATATAAATGTTGAAATTAATAAAAATTTACCTGCAGACATTCAGCAATTTTCCCCCCATCTACATTTTTGTGTACATCAAAGAAGGTAAATCGACGCCACTGAAATGAATTATACAAGTTAAATGCTTATTTTAAGTGGAGTATCGATAAGAGGCAATAAATAGTTTAATCAACATTTACGAAACATTGGCAACAGCTAATGATTATTATAAATTTATCTAAATCAGGACTAATTAACGACTAAAAAATTCCTAGTTGCATTCGTAAATGAAGTGAACACAAAGAAATAAAGATTGATTTTAAAACAAATCAAATGAATCGATCTAGTCGACTTTATAATATATACTTACTTCTAAAAACGCCATTTTAGTGGATTTAATGAAAAACAATCATATTAAAATACAAAACATTAGAACTGTTTTATTTTTATCGCCTCCTACAAAATCGCATTGCAATTACAATCACAATTGACACTTGACAGCAATTGTCAAAATGACGTTTGATTCGTGTTGCCAACATAATTTTTTTGAACCCACTAAGCAGACGGACCAAAACCACCAAAAGTCACAGCAGTAATATTCCATCCATTAATTAAACATTGGGTATTTTCTATGACGCACGATCACATTTTGGAATTTTCTGATGCTAACGGTTGTTACGAATCACAGTTATGTTTGCGATTCAAATCAATATAAACATCAAGAATCTTCAAGAAAATTTCTCCAAAGGCCATCAACTCGTCTGAAAATTCCTTTACGCCCTATGCTCAGGGCCGGATTTATAGTGGATATAAAGGCCCCCCCAGCCCCCAGTGAAGACTAGCTGCCATAGGTTTAATAATAATTACGATAATATTATGAAAATTTCATGAGTTTTGGTAGAAATGAGGATGAGAGAGTTATTTTTCAGAAAGGGGCACGAAATTTAAAAAGTGGCTAAATCCGATACAATTTTTTGGAAGAAATTTTTAAAGAGGATATTTGTAAAGACAAACAAGTTAGTTATGCCATCAAAAGAGTTCGTGAGTAACGACATCGACATGAATCGAATGAAAAATTAAAGATATACGAAGAGAAAGCTTAAAACTTATATACTAGAGTGGTACTGACATAAATAAAAGATATGCAGAATTTTTATTTGAAGTCAAAAGAGTCAAACATTAAACGTTGTGTTGAATAAGCTGTTTTGGATTTTGGATTTAAATAGAAAATGTCAAGTCTATGAGGCACATAGTAAGAAATTCAATCAGTGAATTCGGTTAAAATCTTACTAAAGACTAAGATTAGATTTATATAGATTCTTACACTCTTGCAGTGAAATGTTTATGCTAATCAATTATTTATTAAATTACTGTCACCTTCTAGAATTTTTAACGTTGTCAAACACTAGCGGTGAATAATCAGTGCGCTGTTTCTCCAGGATGTCATATAAAGAAAACAAATGTAGGTAAACAATGTTGAACAATCGACTAAATTATTTATCAATCCTTTCCATAAATTGTGATTTAACAAAACATTGATGTGTGATTGTGTGAACATGTGATAAGCAAATAAAGGAATTAGCAGCGCAAAAATCTAGAAAGGTCTACATAATTTATTTGACTTATCTATACATATTGCCGTGTAGTGGCGGTTGAGAATATCCACTACCCCATATCGCCCCGTGGGTGTCGTAAGAGGCGGCAGGGGGTGACAGACAGAAGATGGGCAGCAGCATCTTCCTAATAACAACAATAATATAATAAAAACTGCGGTTGCCAACCCGCTCGCCAAGCGTGGCAATTATGGCAAATATCCCCACATGAATAACAACGCAAACAAATGGCGCCCAGTCCCCGGTGGCCCCGCTATTCCTGGCTACGGTGGTGACCATGGTAACGGCGGGGCAAGGGGTGCTAAGAATCTCCGGTGGAGGTTTGGTTGCCACCTACGACCACTCGACCTGGCAACATATAACACACGCACCCTGAGGACTGAAGAGAAGGTACTGGAGTTGGAAGAAGAGGTAGACAAGTTTGCGCTGGCATATTATTGGATTATCCGAGGTCCGAAGAGAGGGGGAGGACACGGTCATCCTCGAGTCCGGCAACTTGTTCTATCACCGGGAGGGCGACCATCTGTCCCAAGGTGTCGGATTTATCGTTCACAAGTCTCTCGCCAACAACGTTGTAAATATTGGGAGTGTGTCGACGAGGGTCGCGTACCTGATACTCAGAATCACCAAACGGTATTTCCTGAAGATCATACAGGTTTACGCACCAACCTCGGCACATCCCGATGAGGAGGTGGAGGAAATGTATGAGAATATTTCTAGAGCCATGCATTCCTCCAAAGCCCACTACACGGTATTGATGGGAGACTTCAACGAAAAACTAGGCACAAGAGGAAGCGGTGAGCTGAAGTTAGGGAAATTTGGAGTAGGGCAACGGAACCGCAAGAACAAGCAGCTGGCCGACTTTATGGAGAAAGAGGGACTCATTATGATAAAATCTTTCTTCCAGAAGCGGTCCCATAGGAAGTGGACCTGGTCGAGCCCCGACAGTTTGCCAAAAAATGAGATAGACTTCATTATGACGCCAACTGTTCACTGATGTCTCAGTGATCGCGAGGGTGAAAACTGGCAGCGATCACCGAATGGTTAGAGGCACACTGAACTTAAGCGTTAAGTTGGAGAGGTCTCGTCTAGTGAAGTCAACGCTCCGTCCCCCTCGTGCGCTAATCCGGGGTCCCGAAAACTTTCAGCTCGAATTACAAAACCGTTTTCAGTGCCTAGAAGATTGCAATACAGTGGACGATATAAATGACAAACTCGTGGAAACAGTCCATGCGATCAGAGCTAAGTTCTGCAAGACCCGCCGCAGAAGAACACAAAAACTCTCCGATCATACTCTTAATCTCATGGATGTTAGACGGACGATGAAGCTGCATTCGTCAGCAGATTTGACAGCATACAGGCAACATAACGGACAGATCTCCAAATGCATGCGGCAGGACTTACGCAACTTCAATACAGCTCGTATTGAAGAAGTGATTAAGCGGAACCAGGGCTCCAAAGTCTTTGCCAAAGATCTGTCTGCCAGTAAGAACCAACTGTCAAAGCTGAAGACTGAGCTGCATCGTTTCTGGGACACCTGAGATTCTGAGTGAGATTGAGCGGTTCGATGGGCAGCTATACACATCATCGTTGGAGCCACACGCAAGTGTGAGTAACGATCCAAGAGCAAGTCTTATCCGACACTATTCCGATGATATCCCGGACGTCAGTCTGAGCGAGATTAGAATGGCTCCCCAGCACCTTAAAAACGGCAAGTCCCCGGGCGAGGATGGAATTACAGCGGAACTTCTAAAAGCGGGTGGAACACCGGTACTTAAAGTCCTTCAGAAGCTCTTTAATTCCGTCCTCCATGGTGGCACTACTCCCGAGGCGTGGAGCAGAAGTGCGGTGGTCTTGTTCTTCAAGAAAGGTGACAACGCCCTCTTGAAGAACTACAGACCGATACCCCTTCTGAGCCGCGTCTACGTGCTGTTTTCGAGAGTCATTACGAATCGTCTCGCACGCAGAATCGATGATTTTCAGCCTCCTGAACAAGCCGGTTTCCGAAAAGGCTTTAGTACCATACATATACATACCCTTCGGCAAATTGTACAGAAGACCGAAGAGTAAAATCTGCCACTCTGCCTGGCGTATGTGGAATATGAGAAAGCCTTTGATTCCGTCAAAATTTGGGCGGTGCAACAGTCTCTTCAGCGGTGCTAAGTTGACTGTCGGTATATCAAAGTGCTGAAGTGTTTGTACAGTAGGGCTACGATGGCTATCCGAGTACAGAACCAAAGTACGAAACCTATCCAACTGCAGAGAGATGTAAGACAGGGTGACGTTATATCCCCGAAACTCTTCACCGCTGCATTGGAAGATGTTTTCAGGCTACTGGACTGAAAAGGATACGGAATTAACATCAATGGCGATACATCACTCACCTTAGATTTGCCGACGAAATAGTCCTTATGGCAGAATCGCTGGAGGATTTAAGCACTATGACCTTAATAGTGCCTCCCAACGGATAGGTCTTAAGAAGAACATGGACAAAACAAAAATCATGTTTAATGTCCATTTCACACCTATGCCGGTAGTTGTTGTGAGCACTAAGCCCCCGAAGGTAACTCGAGCTGAAAGGTTTCGGAACTTTGGATTAGAGCACGAGGGGGACGGAGCGTTGACTTCATTAGACGAGACCTCTCCAACTTAACGTTTAGGCGCAGTGTGCCTTTAACAATTCGGTGACTGATGCTAGTTTGCACCCTTGCGATCACTGAAACATCACTGAACTGTTGCTGTCTAGTCGTCATAATGAAGTCAATCTAATTTTTTGTCGAACCGTCGGGGCTCGATTAGGTCCACTTTCTGTGGGGCCGCTCCTAGAAGAAAGAGTTCATCACAAAGAGTCCCTCTTTCTCCATGATGTCGGCCAGCAGCTAGCCCCTTGGATTCCATTGCCTTATCCCAAATTTCCTTACCTACAGCTCACCGTTCTTTCTTGTGCCTAGTTTTGCGTTAAAGTCTCTCATTAACACCGTATAGTGGGATTTGGAGGAATGCATGGCTCTAGAAATATCCTCATACGTTTCCTCCACCTCCTCATCCTTATCGAGATGTGCTAACGTTGGTGCGTGTATGACTTTCAGCAAATACCGTTTGGTGATTCTGAGTATAAGATACGCAACCCTCTTCGACACACTCTCAATATTTACAACGTTGGTAACGAGTGACTTATGGACGATAAATCCAACACCTCCTTGGGACAGATAATCGCCCTCCCGGTGATAGAACAAGTTGCCGGATTCGAGAATCACCGTGTCATCCCCTTCTCTTCGGACTTCGGATAATCCTATAATATTTCAGGGCAACTTGTCTATCTCTTCTTCCAGTTCCAGGATCTTCTCGTCAGTCCTCAGGGTGCGTACGTTGTATGTTGCCAGGTTGAGTCGTCTTCGGTGGCAACGGAACCTCCACCGGAGATTCTTAGCACCCCCTGCCCCGCCGTTACCAAAGTCACCACCGTAGCTAGGAATAGAGGGGCCGCCGGGCACTAGGGGCCGTCTATTTGTGTCGTTGCTCATGGGGGTATATTGCCATAGTTACCACGCTTGGCTAGCGGGTTGGCAACCGCTGTTTTTATTTTGTTGTAAAGTTGCTGTTATCAGGAAGATGCTGCTGCCCATCTTCTGCCTGTTTCCCTCTGTTGCCTTTTACGACACCCACGGGAATATATGGAGTAGTGGATATTGTTAAGCGCCACTACACGGCATGATGTTTATCAGGCAGCAACTACTCAGCTTCTCTAATTTTAGCCACTATGTAGAAACTAGGAACTATACATAATACTAAACATTTAATAATACCAACAGTTAATATAAATTATCTTATATCTCGCCTTAAGATTGTATAAGGAAAGTATATAGTTTAGTCCGTGTTTGAATTGAATAAATGAAGGAATAGACGAACTATACAATTCTTTTTTAATACTTGAAAAGTTGTTGCAAATACTAAATTACCCAGTGGCGTAGCGTACCTTAGACGGGCCCTGTATCAAAATTTGTTAGGGGGCCCAAATGAAAGAGATTCGAATCGATGTTTTTGCCCAGCTGTAAAAGCTCATAATAAACGATGCCCTTCTAATCCCACCATATACACAGCATCACCATATTGCTACCCTTTGACCATAATCTTTTTCACACGATCTTGTCGTAGGTGATCCGTTCTCATCACCAGTGATTAATCTTTTTAAAAATGGTTCAGATCTATTACGTTTCAATAGAGGATCGCAAATGAGTGCACGATTTCTTAGGTTTCTTCCAGTGAGATTGTGTAGTACCTAAATTTTGAGCTTTTTTGTATAGCCAGACTTTTTCAAATGACTCAAAACTGTTTTGCGGTCAATTTTTAGTTTTTCTTAATTGGGGTATAGTGGAGCACCAGCTACTAATCCTGTGTCACCAGCCGACCGATCAAATGTCTGCAGCGTTTGCGTTGTGAGTATGTTTTATAATTAATTACATGAACGGTGCGTTTACGTGTCGCGATTGTTTGGATTGCTGTAGTCGAAATCTAGTCAAGCCAAAAAGAAAATATAATATATAAATATTTTTCAACTTATACTAGTATATTATATAACTTTCTATTGCATAACCTTTTTGGTAAAATTATTTATGAGCACAACACAGCTTTGTAACAATTTGGCATATTTGTCGTTTATATCTTTTGATATTTTCATGTACTAAATTTTTATGCTATAATGCCGAAATTTTATAGATTTAGACCTACATCACCCACACGAAGATCAAAACGTAATAAAGACAAGGAGAAAGATAAAGAAAAATTTAAGTGAGTTTATAATTATTAAATTACATTATGTTTTAGTATTTAAAATAGCTAGATCTTAAACATTCACTTGTGATGGAGAACAATATCAAAAAGCGAGTGCTCTTCTTACAGATTGGTAGCATTCGGTGGTAATGTAACACTTCGGATTACATTTCTATTGAAACTGTGATTCTGAGTTGTTTAGTCGACTCAGTACTCATAAAGTGTCAGGCGTCTCGTACTGTGATAACCAAAATGTGAAGCAAATTGCTTAGTTTATTTATAACCGTTAAATGTCAAGCTGCAGCCCATCATAAGTCAATAAGTCTTCTGTCGAAAATAAACAGCTACTTTTGCAACGCAAGGTCTTAGTCACTTGTGTCTACCAACTCGTGGGTAGTTGCTGTGCACAGTTTGCTGTTACTATCTACAATCTGTGATCGTTGGTACTACTAACAAAGTCAGGGAACTTGACCGTCGCTGGGATATTGTTCCTGTTTTATTGTTATAATGGTTTGAAATGGATTTTGATACGTAAATGTGATGAGATTTTGTTTATTAAGTGTATACACAAGTAAACTATAAGAGTATACGACGAAACAAGTTTTCGATGTTGATATAAACCCCTAGTTATTTTGATCGTTTAGGCGTCTTATAAACTTAAGTGACTGTCGTCATCAATTGTCCGTTGGGTTGAGCTGTCGTCAAAATATCCCAAAAGCTTCGCAAGGTAATGCATCGGTATATTGAAAATAAAAAGAATCTATAAAATGAAGATTCCTAATGAAATAAAGACATGGCTTAAAGGATAAGCCTCCAAGCCAAAAATCTTAATAAATAAAACTAACAAAGACATTCATTAATAAGTTAGAATTGTAGAAAACCCTATTCAACTTTTTAGCAGGTCTGTATTTAGTTTATAAAAACATATTGATGTCGAAAATGCACTCCAAGGTTCTTCTCTCCGTTGCTTTCAGCCGATTGCGGTTAGTTAAGCTTTTGTGTACTACTATCATTATCATTACAGCCTATCAATATAGTCTACTGCCAAACATAGGCCTTCCTCATAGGTTGCTTTATAGGAAGGATGTTTGCCGGAGTCGCCATGCTTGGCATCCACAGTTTTTATTTTATTTTCTAGTTGTTATTAGTCTGACGCTGCTGTTCATCTCCTCATTGGTCCCTCTTGTCCCTTCTTATGGAGACCCTCGAGACGATATATGATAGTGGATATTCTTAAACCGCTCCTACACGGTAGTAAGATAAGTAGGTATTGTAAAATTTGTCAAATATACGAAAGCACGTATCAAGTAATATCAGCAACGGTAGGCTGGGATGGCCAATAATCAATACCGGGCACCGTTTATTAAATTTATATTCTTTAAGTATATTTTTTATGTTATATAGGCTAGGATTTTTATATGATAAACGAGCACACAGTCCACCTGATGGTAAGTGGTTGCTGTGACCCATAGACATCTACATCTATCCTCGATTACGAATCAAAATGCAGATGCGCGACCTGTGAGGACTAAGACTGAATGCTTCGTTTCCAGTAAAAAGCGTCTCCGGTTCTCTACACTTACCATACGAAACACAGCAGCATTAAGCTACTATTTTACGCTGCTATTCTGTGAGAGCGTGGTTCTTCCCCGGTCGAACCAATCCATTCGTGCTACAGCTAAACTACTAATAGGTATAACTGCAGCATGGCTCTACCACGTATATCCAACATATGTTTAACAAACCGCAATTAGGTGTACCGAGTTATGGCCTGCTGAACCTAGGTGTATCCGCTTTGACACTCGGCTTTTAATCGTTACATATACTAATATTATTGTCATAATATCATTCAAATATTTGTAATATTTCAATAGAGACACGCTCGAAACTGAAGGAAACTGGTTAGATATGACACTAGCTTGCCCTGCGACGCCATCTTGGTATTTACGTCGGATCGCCTGGCGTGAGACTCCACCGCTACTGGGTCTGTCCCGTCAATTCAACACCGGTCTTCGCGCAGAGTTACATATCGGTAATCGACCGATTTTTGTCTTCAAAGTACCACCGGCAATACGATCGCAAGACATGATGCGATTATTTTAGTCTAGTGATTTGAAAACTGAAGTTTCCTTTTCACGCCTTTGATGAGTGTTAAATAAATAAATCTAATGTTTACAACATCTGTAATGTATTGTTTGTATCAGTAAAACACGTTAATTGATGTAAAAATAAATCATGTTTTAATAAAAAAAAAAAAAACTAGTTTTCATTTTTTGACATCTATTTAAATGTTGTTTAACCGACCGTTACAGCCTATTAAAGTCCACTGCCGAACGTGGGCCTTTCCCATTGAGCCCCATAGAGTTTCCCATAGAGGGAGATATTTGGCATAGTTGCCACGTTTGGCAAGCGGGTTAGCACCCGTAGTTTTTTGATTTTAGTCGTTATTAGGAAGACACTGCTGCCCATCTCATTTGTCTCTCTCTGTGGCCTTTTTTTATCACACCCACGGGATGATATGGGGTAGTGAACATCCTTACACCGCCACTATATGGTAAAATATTATACATTTTTAACATTCAATATACATATATAATAGTATGTAAATTTAAGGGTATAATAGTTATAGCAACAACCTTCTGGTTTATTGCTTTCTGCAACCAGAACCACTAATACTCTTTTCTGAACTGCACATTAAGTTAAGGTATGTATCGAATCGATACTATCTATAATCCGTACTGATATACTGACAAATATTTCTCACCTTCCAATGTCGGTATTGTTACACTTTATTCTCACAATTTCTGATAACAAAAACTACAAAAATAAAATAATTTTCATAATGTAAAAAAAGTAGAAAATTATTTCATGTAATAGCTTCTGCATATCTTATACCAGGTCGTCACTTCATCTAGTGGGGGCCACCCCACACTTCGTCTGTCGGTGCGAGGCATGCAGTAAGTCTATGAATGTAGCTGGCTCAGGAGCGCATTTTGTGGCATTCCTTGGGGGAGACCTATGTTCAACAGTGGACTTGTGAAGGGCTGTAATGATGATGATGATGATGAATAGCTTTTGAAGTCGGGGCTAAGACATAGTAAATCGAAAATTTTAAAACACGCCTTTGAAGCGTGCTAGTGTGTTTAAATTATTTTATTCTTTTTGGTTTTTGAAGTCGGTTTTATTTATTTTTTATTATTAATATTTTTTTTTAAATTCTAAAAGGTCCATTCTTTGCAGCTTTTCTTACCAGATTCACTGATAATCAAGTGTAACAACACATTGGACATAATATACGAAAGCTGTAATGAATTAATAAAAATAATGTCTCTTCTAACACAAATATTTTCCTTATGTACATTTCATTGTATATATTTAGCACTGCATGTTCATAGTGTACTTTGCGCAAGAGCATTAGCTTGTTATGGAGGACAAAGCTAGGCAACACTTTTTAGTTTTTAGTCTAAAAATTAAGCCAAATCTAATAGGCAAATTAGCCGGTCATATATCCACAACGTAAGCAGAAAATGTTTTCATAGTGGCAGCATTGTTTCGGCAAGTACCGTTACGACATAAATAATAGTAATACGTACCGTCTAAAACCCGCCTAGGATATGACAAATGATAACCTATAGTTCGTGCCAAATCGATTGAGAAAAACGGACCTCAGATAATATGAGCCGAGTGTCAAAAGGCGTAACTTACAAAATCTCAACTTAGATGTGATAACAATATTTAAATATTGATATTATTGATATGGGAAAAAAAATACGTAAAAGAAAACAACAATAAAAATCATATTATAAAGCAATTACCATAGCTAAAAAAAAAAAAAAAACCGTACGTCAGTTCGTTCTAAAAGAAACGTGGCAATGGCAGTCAGAGATGCGTCACTTTTTTTGGGCCGGCCCGCATGCACCGAATAAAAATAAAGTTCTTATATAATATTGAAAATATAGTTTTATCTTTTGAATAATTACGTACTTATTCAGTGTCGTTATCACTCGAATCTTTATATGTGTTATAAATGAATGCTTTTTGTTGTTAAATGAATAAAGTACTTCATAACAATAGATAATTTTTCTTCTACAGCGATCTTTTACACAACTTTTTAATAATAGTTAATAAATATATTATATATTATATCAATCATTATAAAAAATATTAAAAAAAATCATTATAAATAAAGAAAGTACTACATATAAAAATACCTATATATTGAAGGTTTTTAGCCCCTGGTTAAACGACTGGAAGGTCAATGTCCGTTTTTCTCAATCGATTTGGCACGAACTATAGTAAATTTGACTTGACGGCAAAATGGCTAAGCGTTAGGTTGCGTTGTTGCCGGTCGCGGATTCTAATACCGTACGGAATAAATATTTGTATGGTCTAGAAATACTAGTCCCGGGCCTGAATGTTGTTTGTGCTGAAATTTATGTATAAAGCCATCACGATACAGGAGGTAATCCAAAGGTTTTGGTATTGTTAATGAATGCAGGTGGCTCAGGATCAGAACCTTGCTTTATGGTAGTCTTTGGGAGTGGCCTTTGTTCAGCAGTGATGGGCTGCAATGATGATGATGATCATTGGAAATTGATTCGGATCATATTTAACATGAGTAATTTATTTTACTTAGTATAGATCTGTTATTTGTAGGTACCTATTTCGGGACATATAAAGAAAGCTTAAGAATATTATTAAATTTCATGATTCATGATCCTTTTATAACTCACGTATCTTATATTCACTATGACGAAGGTCCGTATGTCACAGCTTAGGGTCATAAGCTTATTTCGTAGACAGATTATTAAATTATTCCTCGTTATATTAGCTAAGCAGCGCATCAGGACAGGAAGGCGGACATTTTCTTGTCCTAAAACCCTTTCAGAAATGATAGAAAGCCTGTAACCAGCAGTAGGGCGGACATAGGCTGTAATTTTAATTTAATTTAAAGAGCTATGGCGTAATAGCTAAGAAAAAAATTAGTTTACTTTTCAATACATTGTGTTCATTTGTTTTAAGCCGTTTAGTTAGCACCGGCTCATTTTTATAGACTGTTACAACCAATGTACTGATTTAATTCTGAAAATTGATTTTGATCGCAATAAAACATACCCTTTGTCACTGGGAAATAGTGTTCTTTTCTTCGATTGAAGTATTAACATAATAATGCCAGTAATTTCAGAGAATACCTTCTACAAACTTACAAACAATTTCACCTCTTTTTAAATTAGTGTAGTTGGCGTAAATGTAGATTAAGGGAGAATATGTCACTTTTTACCCGGAATGCTATCATTCCCAGCTGGTGGACTGCATCGCCCTGCTAAAGAAAAAGGGCTGGTCACCGAGTAAAGTAAAGTAAAGTTACAGCCTATATACGTCCCACTGTTGGGCACGGGCCTCCCCTCATTTCTGAGAGGGTTTTAGGGCAAGGAAGTGTTCGCCGCGCTGCCCCAATGCGTGTTGGCGAACTTCACATGTCTTCGAAATATTTTTTTTCTCTTATTCCTCAGACATGCAGGTTTCCTCACGATGTTTTCCTTCACTGTCGAGCACGTGTTAAATCAGCACTTAAAATTGCATTTAACAATTTCAGTGGTGCCGGCGGAGATCGAACCCGGGTTACTCGCGTTCTGTTATATTTACAGCGAGCGTTAACCATCTGAGCTACCACGGCTCGGTCACCGAGTGACGGCTCAAATAACTCCTTTGTTGTACTCATTACAAAGATAAAGTGAAGCGTTTGGTTCGAATGCGTGGTATTTCGTAATAGCATAATAAAGAAGACTTTTTTTATTTAAAGATGACTTTTATTTTTTTATGTGGCCTTTTAGAGACTATGCGAATTCTCGAGATGGCCTCATTGGAGACTGCGCTGGAGAAGTCGGTTTGTTAGCGCAGCTCGGAATCATGACGCTGCTTCCCGTCCTTTCTTGTTGGCCACGATAAAAAGACTGTTCTATAGTATGTATTTTTTTGATTTTCTGAATGGAAATCTGGAGATTTAATTATTGATAATTTTTTAAGCATTTTCAACGTCTTAATGGGCTCGGAAAATTGGTTCTGATCTAAAAAACACTCAAATTTTTACTAAAAGTTAAAAACTTCCGAATGAATCTTTGAATGTTCCAAGTTAGTGCCACTTATGAGACCTATAAGACTAAAGGTTTTTTTGTTAATTTTTCCAACGTACAACAATTGATAAATTTTAAACGTGTGGTGAAAGTTATATTGATATCTTTTTTTCATATTGATATCGTTTCCTCGCAATTTACTCGCAATTTCTTTATGTTGAATTAAAGGATGAAGTATGACCCGATTTATCCCCGATTTAATAATGTGTAACATGATTAAGGTGCCCTATATAAATGATAACGAAGGTCCGTAAGCCGACGTGAGGTAATTTATGTAGGTAAGCACTAAGCACGAAGGTTTAAATTGTGATTTTACGATGAATTGGGGAAGCATTTCAAAAAAATATATATAATCAAAATTAAAAGTCACAATTTTTGTAGGTACTAGCTTATTAGTTAAATACGTATTATTCAATACTTTAATGTGTTTGCCCTCTTACACTTTAGCTTGAAATCTGATAAATCGAAGATGTTAAAATTAATAAGATCAGATCCGCGTGAAAAAGAAAAACGATGCAACATAACATCTCATAATTACGTGATAAAATTAAAATTTTGAACATTGCTTTACTCCATTCAAACAAGTCTTGTCTGTGTCAATGGAACTTAGATCTTAGACTAAGCGTGATAGACGAATAAGTTACCGTAGTTCCTAGGCGTTTACAATTGGGTTATGCTGCTATCCATAATCTTTAATATTGTGTTGTGACTGTGTAAGAATATAAACTGCTAAATATCATCACTTAGGTGTCGTAAGAGGTGGATAAGGGAAACCACGAGATGGGCAGCAGCGTATTCCAAATAACAACTAGAAAATAAAAACTGCGTTTGCTTAATCGCTCGTCAACTATGGTAAATATCCCACTTATGAGGCAATCAAATGGGGGAGGGGGCTATGTTCAGCAGTGGACTTTGATAGGCTGTGATGAATGAATGGATAACCTAAATGATATCCAACCAATATAAAAT